AAAAAACAAATCGTTTAAATAGGGATACAGGTGGACCCATTGCAACAATGAGATGTACAAGTCGTTATGTCGAAAATGAACTTCACAACTTTGGTGGGGGAGGGGCGGGGGAGAGAAGGACTGGGGGAGTGGGGGAAGGATGGGAAGGGATGGGAAGGGGAAACAAAGGAGGAGCTACAATGCTTTCTAAGAAATGTACTCATTATCTTGCCCATGTAATTGTAACCCCTCTGTACGGTATTTTCACAATAAAAATAAAAAAGAAAGGTATGACCTCCACTGACACTTTAGGGGACAAAGGCATGCATGTCTATCTTTATATACATCATGACAGTGATTTGTAATAGGAATAAAGACATATTTCAATCTATGTAATGAGCACATCTGACACAGCATGTGGAAACACATGTGAATGGCACTTCTGAAACTTGCAAGTAGACTGTGACCAGTGCACCTGTGTCACACTGAGTTTACCTGCTCTGCTCACAGTGCTGGTGAGGCCAGGGCTCGCGACTGCTGTGCTGCCTGTCGTTCTAGCTGTGGACACGATGGGAACAGAACTTCCAGTGGAGCCTGAGGAAAAACAAAGGCACTTCTCATCTACAATCCATAGGCACGTTCCCAGCAATAGAAACAATGTGTTATAATTCGTAATATGGAAACTACAAAAAAAGTATCTGTAAACTCTTTTCCTAGAGCTCCTTACAGCATTGTTAGAATACAACTTTATCCAATACTTGGTTTTGCTTTTGTTGCATTTAAAAAAAATCATGTGTTTGCACTCATACTGTGTCATCTAGGTGTGGACACGTTTATCTCAGTCAGTTGTCAAATAAGCTGAGTCCTATGAAACATGATGTCTTGGATGAAAAGGCGCAACTGCTGAACATCTTCTTCCCTGACTTGTCCTCAGGTGTTGCTGGCTCTCTGTGTGAGGATCCAGTTGTTTCAGCAGTGAAGAGCCCGGGGGTCCCTTCAAAGTCAACAGTCCCCATGCATGAGTCAGATATTTGAGAAAGTGCAACAAACCATGGAACACGCTGAATTTAAATGTATTTCATATATTCAATTACATGTTTCCTTCCTGAATCCTTCTTTGAGGACATTGGTGTTAAGGTGAATTACTATCATTAAAAAGCCTGTGTTGGATTAGCTAGAGTCAAATAAAGTTCTTTATCATACTCTTTTAATATTTCAAAATTGGAACCTATTATTCCCTTGGAAACATGGCTGCATATTTTGATACTTTACCGAATATTGGTGATTTCTATATTTTTTATTTTTAAAAGTTCTGAGTCTTTAAGACTATCTTATGTCAAAGACCTACATTTAGTGAGAAAGATTCATTACTTATATTAGGAGTATGTCTTTAGTGGATTATATTTATACACACACACACACACACACACACACACACACACACACACACACACACACACACACACACACACCCTGTAGCTTCAGAAGCTCCAAGAGAGGGCTCCTGAAATAATCATGGCATCACATTGTTTATTCTTGAAGCTATTGGCAACATTACAAAACACCTTCTAACACATAGTAAAAAAAAATTAATGCTCATAGCACAAATACTACACATGGCAGTAAAAACCAATAGGTATAATATTAAATATGATATGTCTAACTGGAATGTTCTACAAAATAGCTAAAATAGTTGACAAGGAAATACAAAGAATACAAAGTAAGTGAATATTTTGGGTGGCGATGGCTCTTCTCTCCTCTTTTCCCTCCCCTCCATCCCCATTTCTGGTCATTGCTAACTTTTAAAGTACATCTCTGAAGCGTCCTTTCCATTCTATGCAGTGTTCTTGATTTACCCTTGCAGATATGGGTGTTATTTACCTATGAATAGCACTATTGTTTTGGATTCTTGACCTCTACACATCACGTGGTTTTCATTTTGTGGAGATTATATTAAAATAATCTTCATTCATAATAGTATATGTAGGTAACACTATGGTAGAAGATTCAATAGGAAGCACTGCATAGTTTTTCTTCTTTAACACAAGCTGAATCTTCAGAACACATCCATTCTACCTTTCATTTTATTTTACCTTTACATCATATATGAATATGATTTTCAAAGATTCATAAATAAAGTTAAGAAAACATAAACCCTCTGCTACATTTTCCTATATCATACACAGCATCTAACACAATATTAGGTACACAACAATTATCTGTTGATGAGATTCTGATCCTTGTCATTAGATTAACAAGATTGGTACATTCTAGGTAACTATATCTGGCCAAATCTTGAGCACAAAGTGTTCATGTGTCTTCTTTCGGCCCCCATGGTGTGTTATGTTCATTCCATACCTGTCCTTCCAGATGTGATGTCCCCAGGGGCTCCGGTGGTGGCTGTAACTGCTCTGCCACTAGTTCCTAATGGGAACAGGAATAGTGCTTCAGGCTTATGAGGAGTTATTTAGTGAATGTCATTCATTCCTACCATGCTGTCTTTGGTCACATTTCCCTGACTATACAATCACCTTTACTCATTTTCTCAAAACTTGTGTTAGAACACACAATCACCCCCAGTATGGTTCGGTCTTACCTGTGGGGTGTGCAGAGCTGGGGGCCCTGGTGGCTGAGGGTCCAGGTGTGCTGGTCCGGCCTGATGCTGAGCTTGCTCCCACTGACTCTCTTGTTGTACCTGAAAAATACAGCAGCAAGGCTTCCAACACAAGCTAGATTTATGATGGGCATAGTGGGAGATTCAAGTGAAATGGAAATCTCCGAGTATGTCTTCATCATTGATCACACAACCTGCCTGTTTTGATAAGCATACTCATCAATTGGGCCCCAAGTACCTGTGGTGACTCACCTGAGTGTCCTGGGCTTGTGGCCCCAGTGCCTGCTGCCCTGGCTGTGCTGACTTCCTCAGCAGCAGGTGTGGCAAGAGGGGGACTGCTGGTTCCCACTGAGAAAACAAAGATGTCATGTGATCACCCTCCCCTCAGCTCACCAATGAGCATCCTCTTAGGCGCTCCATGCTATTCTCTCCATGCATGAAGGATGTCTGAGAGCCCTGCTCCAGGTCAGCAGGGGTCAGCACCAAGTCAGGAGTCACAGCACGCTAGTGGTTCAGGCTCAGCATCCACACCACATTCTGGGCTTCTCAAATAGTCCAGAGCAAAAGACTACTTTTGTAAAATTTCAGTTATAACCTGATTGATGCTTTGAATAACACTAGAAAAGTAACAGGACAAAAATGGATTTTAAAAAGGGAAAGCTTACAAAACTCAATGTATTCAGTATTTGTCAGGTCCTACTTTGATTCCTTCTGCTCCTGAGTAATTGTTTTTGATGTTCACACTGCTTTGTATGTATCCTAACATGCGATCTGGGCAGGGAATCCAAGAAGAGTGGAAATGAGAGAGCTGAGGTTCTCGGCTTTGAAGAGCATCATTTACCAAGAGAACTTGTTCTCTTATGCCTGCCAGATGCCATTCTATCAATTTGTGACCTCGGGGTGCAATGGAGGCCTGGGAAAATCCCCATAGAATAGAACATTGACCCATTGCTTGTCCTCAACTTCTCTGAAGACTGTGTCATTTGTATCTGCATTATTTGTTGCTGTGGTTACAGCTGGTGACTCTCCAGCTGTCTCCGAAAAGGCAAATAAGAAAGAAAATCCTGACTGAAAGACAGTAGGGTGACCTCTGACTCTCAGGAGAATCAGAGCATATTATTGTAAAATTGCAAATACCACCAAAGTAATCTGTGAAAAGGCTGAAGATAATTTTTTTGGGGGGGGAATCTGGTCGTGGGGCCTGAACTCTGGGCCTGGGCCTGTCCCCCAGCTCTTCAGCTCTACCACTTGAGCCACAGGGCCACTTCTGGCTTTTTTCTTTTTGCTTATGTGGTGCTGAGGAATCGAACCCAGGGCCTCATGCATGCAAGGCAAGTGCTCTACCACTGAGCCACCTTCCCAGCCCTGAAGATAAATTTTAATCCTTACAAAGAATAAACCTGATACCATATTTGACAATGTAGATAGGCACAGCATTTCTGACATCAGCTGCTTGACTGGGAAGGATTTAGTTTGTTACACAGTTTACCTGCTGTACCCCCAGTGCTGGTGAGACCAGGGCTCTGAACAGGTATGCTGCTTGTAGATGCAGCCATGGAAGAGAGGGGAAGAGGAGTTCCAGTAGAACCTGAGAAAACACCAAAGGAAATTCTCACCTAAGGTACACATGAACAACGATACAGTGGTTGAAAACAGAATAAAGGAATCCAAAGACTCTCTGCAGAACTCGCTACACTGTTGTCTTGATAACATTTTGTTGCTATTTAGTTTTATTTTATTGCCTTTTTTCCCAGAGATATAGTATACATTCCTTCTGTTGTCACCTAGGCCTACCTATATTGTTCTCAGATATTCTGCTTTAAAAAGAGTTCTGACACATCAGTCAATAAAGTGTATCATATCTGAACATCCTCCATTGCTCACCCAATTTGTCTTCAGATGGTGCTGGTTCACTGGCTGGGAACCTAGTTGTTTCACCAATGAATGGCCCTGTGGTCTCTGACAAAGTGACCCATGGATGCTCCTCCCTTAAGCCGGGCACTGGTGGCTCACGCCTGTAATCCTAGCTTCTAAGGAGGCTGAGATTTCAGGATCATGGTTTAAAGCCAGCCCTTACAGCTCTTATCTCCAATAAATCACCAAATACTAGACTAGAGGTGTGGCTCAAGTGGTAGAATGCTAACCTTGAGTGGAAAGCTCAAGGATAGTACCCAGGGCTTGAATTCAACCCCCAGGATCAGAAAAACAAATCATGCTCCTCTGAACTTTTAAATATACCCACGCACAGTTAGTTATCCATTCACATTCATATTTTACATTTATATATTCATTCACACTTATGTGTTTATTCACATTTCTCTTTTTCTGACTCACTCTTTCAACGTATTCACAGTAAAATGTGGCCCCATCACTAGAATTTCTGAGTCTGATGATCTACTTGTTGAAAACAAGTAAGATGATTTATCACACTTGTTGAATATTGCTAAATTTGAGCCTAGTCCTTTGGAAACTGGGTTTTACTTTGGAAAAACTCAGATCCTTTATAACATAAATGTGCCTGTTCCTCCTGCCAGAGGCCTAGGTTCCATGTGAAGTATTCTTTGCTTGTACTTGAATGTCTAGTGGATTACTTTTGCTGACAGGACAGCAGATCATGTCCCCACTCTACACGTATAGCTTTAAAAGCTCAAACACAGTGGGCATTAGTGTGTTAGTTAGGGCAATCCTAACTATTCAGGAGGTTGAGAGCTAAGGATCACAGTTCAAAGCCAGCTTGGGCAGGAATGTCTATAAGACTCATCTCCAATTAACCATCAAAGAGTTGGAACTGGAGCTGTGGCTTGAGTGGTACAAAGCTAATCTTGAGCAAAAAAAGCTCAGGGACAGCACCCAGCCAAGTTCAAGCCCTAGTGCCAGCACAAAGAAAGGAGGGAGGACACCTTTACTGAGTCTAACAACTGGACAACTTTACAGAACACACTCTATCCCCTCAGAACTATGGCTGCTACCTGTGAAAGCACTGTCTCTTTTGAGTCATTCATTCTACACCAAATTCCAGGTCTAATGAATGGATCATGTCATTCACATGCTCCATCTGGTTTACCACTTCTCCTCACCTGATCTGCTGCTACCAGAAGTTGTGGCTGGTCTAGCTGAGGCTCCAAGGCTGGCAGTAATGGATCCTGCAGACGCTGTTGTGGTCCCTAGAACAAAGAGCAGGATGAGATGTCGGGAAGAGTGTGTCAGGTACTCCTGCCATTTGTGTGAGTACGTGGGAGTTTCAGAAAGAGGCAAAAGGCAGTTCCTTAAGTTCTCCTCAGCCTTGTCCTCTCATCCTGATTGCAGGCTGACTGCAGATGATCATTCAAAGTCGGGTGACAAGGTGGAACAGACAGGAGGAACTTACCAGAAGCTGTGGCTCCAGGGCCTGCTTCTCCAGTGGTGCTGCCTCCTGTAGCTCTAGGGCTGGTTCCAGATGCTTCTTCAGGTGGGCCTGTTGTTGATCAGGGAAAACTTATCAGTCTAAGATCACATAAAGCTAGATCTTTTCATGGATGGACTATAAAATACTCATGCTTTGTCTTTTCAGAAATGGTGTATCTACCTAGATTATCAGCATCACTTTCATGTCAATTCTGAATTTCACATGACTCTGATTATGTGCTATTTCCCTTGGCATAGTCAGGTATATTACTCTTTATTCAATGTGGAGGGATTTCTTCTTATCTTCAACTCCCAAGTTGAGTTCATTATTTTCTCCACTTCATTCCTAAGGTGTTTTTTTTTAGATGGAATATATCTACCTTTATTCATCTACATGATAAAGACAATACATTCACTAACACCTATTCATCATTAAGAAATTTAGCCTATTGCTTTACAGTTAAATTAGTCTCACTTATGATAATTGATACCACATCTAGTCGGGAAATCATACTTTAAATATAGACTTACAAAAAATGTCTACAGTGTGTACTAAAGGAATAACAGTGAAGTGTCTGTCCAAAAGAAGATCTAAAAAATAGCAGGAAAGAGTAAATAATAATAAGATACCTTTTAGTAGGTGAGGTTTAGGCATTCTACTAGTTCCTAAGGTGTTTTTTATTTTGTGTTTTCCTCTGATGTGAGTATAATTTCTGTTTCCAAACAAAAGTCAAGCACAGAAGTGCATTCTCCTATTTCCTATATGCTCTATAACATCTAGTGCAGTACTGGGTACACAGGTATCTGATGAATATACGATCATCTAATATTGTAATTTTATAAATAACATTAGCATGTCCCCCAGCATCACCTCTGACTAATAGTTCAGACAAAGCCCTAGTGTCTGCTGCCTGCATCCCACACTCATTCCATACCTGTCCTTCCAGATGTGCTGTCCCGAAGCGCTCCGGTGGTGGCTGCATCTCTTCCCCGACTAGTTCCTAATGCAAAGAAGAATAAGTCATATCATTAGTTATTTACTAAGTATTTGTGCAAGACAGTTCTAGTTCATCAAAGTATTAGTTCTTATCATGTTCCCTTTGCTCACATTCCCCCGATTCCATGAGCATGTCTTGGGGTTTTTTTGCCAAAACTTATTAGCTCCCACCATAGCCCCTAGCGTGATGCTGTCTTGCCTGCTCTGTTTGCAGAGCTGGTGGTCCCAGTGGCCGAGGGTCCAGGTGTGCTCGCCCGGCCTGATCCTGTGGTTGGTCCCACAGGTTTTCTGGTTGTACCTGAAAAATACAGGGGAAGTGGTGTCAACATAGACTACTTCTGAAACCGGGTAGTGAGAGAGTAAAATCAAAAATGTAATCATGTTGTTGGTTTTTCTTTTTTGTTTCTAACAATCTACATGTTTTGATGTTTATACCCATTTATTTGGCACTCCAAATACTTGCGGTGACTCACCTGAACCTCCTGGGTTTGTGGCTCCTGTGCCTGGCCCCTGGGATGTCTCAGTACTTGGTGTTGGGGTGGTGGGTATTTCTGTTGTGACTGATTTTAAAAAAATTATGGTATATATAATTATAAAATATAGACTTATAACTAAATCTATTTATATAACAAAAATTATATATATATATGTGTGTATATATATATATACACTTTTTAAATGCTCTAAGCTGGGCTCTGGTGGCTCACACCTATAATCCTAGCTACTCAGGAGGCTGAGATCTGAGGATCTCAGTTTGGAGCCAGATTGAACAGGAAAGCCTATGAGACTCTTATACCCAATCAACCACCAAAAAGCTGGAAGTAGGGCTGTGGTTCAAGTGGTAGGGTGCTAAATTTGAGCATAAAAGCTCAAGGACAGCACCCAGGGAGAGTCCAAGCCCCAGGAATGGTGCAAAAATGTCTTCATTACAATCAACTCCTTCTCCTTATGATAGTCACATCACATAGGACAGTTTTCCTTTCCATTATCAAAAGGTTGAGAATCTTCTGTAAGTCATTCAGTTGATCAACACCAAAGTCCAGGTATCAATGTCAAATCATTGAGCCCCAGAACTGGTTTCATAGCTTGCACTTCTCAGTGTATCTATGGCTAAGCTGATGGCTATTTTGAACATCATACGTATACTTTAAAAAAGAAAAACCATACACATTTCAAGTTTTAGTTAATGTATGTAAGGTATTAGCTTCAATTTCCCTATTTCTGAATAGTTACATATTTGGAAATTCATTCTGCATGGCATGTTTCCTAGGGTTCAAGTTGAATGTGAAATCTAGAAGGAATGGAAATGAGAGAGAAAGAGTTCACTACTTGAAGAGTGCCAATTGTCAATAGGATTTGTTCACATACATCTGCTGGTCTTTACCAGTTTGTGACTCTAGACCCGGAGTGGGTAGAAATGGGCAAATTTAACAAGTTTTCTAGAGGTGGTGGTGCTCCAGAAAGAACAATTAGAACACATAATGTAGCATCAGGACTGCAGAAATTTAGTACAGTGTATTTGACTGTACAGAGGCAAAAGGATGCAAGGAAAAAGACATGAGGGGCACTAAAACTATTTGTTTGCACAAGTATCATCAGGAAACTCAAACTAGCTTATTTTATTTCACATTACCTGTTTCCAGAACAATATCCTATTCCTGAGTGACAAGAGTTCAATCTTAGTCAATGATGTGCAAAGAGAAATGTTTTCTCATTGGTTTTCGTAGAATGTGAGCTTCGACCCTGATCACAGAACTTAGAAAAATAGCTCTAGGATTTCAGATTCTGTGTTCTAATCTTGCCTGTGTTAACTTCAGAGAGCTGGCATTATTTTCTCAGTGCATGCAAATGTTCATAGATGGTGGTAACAAAAACTGAACTATGAAGCACATATTGGAGGAAAACTCAGAAATTTTAAGAGTACCCAAACGCCTATAGACTTAACCTTTTATTGGCATAGTAATCATAGTATGACCTGAAATTCTCTCTCTGCTGACTTGGACAGCTTTGACACTTGGCCACTGTATCTGAGGCTGAACCACAGAGAATAAGGTTATTCCTGAGACACAATGAAAGACCGCCTGAGGACACACCCAATGGAATCGAACATTCCCTCCCCTCTATGGAAGAGTATTCTCATCTTCTCTGAAGACCGTGCCAAGGTGGTTAAAGCATATAATTAAGAATTCTATACAGTTTTGATGGTAACTTGTAAAAGGACCAAAGATATTACAGTATAACCACATACAAGTACACCTGACACCAGTACACACTGTTCCACACTTAGTTTACCTGCTCTATCTCCAAGAGTGGTGAGACCAGGGTGTAGGACAGTGGTAGAGCCTGTCGTTCTAGCTGTGGAAGCAATGGGAGCAGAAGTGCCAGAAGAGCCTGAGAAAACACCAAGGGAATTTCTCACGTAAAACCCGTGCCAGCTTCCCGACCAATGATGACCTGACTGTCTAACCTTTTCCTCTGATGAAACACAGAATCAAGGAATTTGCTTTCTTTCAGTTCCCTAATTTTTTTTAACTAATATTATTTTATATTTTGACCTGTTTTATTGCATTTTTATGTAAACACCCTTATGCATCGGTGTGACAATTAGGCCTTCATACAATTTTGTCTGGAATTGTGTTTTTTTTTAATGGTTCTGATGCATGATTCTACTTTACAATTAAAGACACACCTTTGAACATGATCCTCTGCTCACCTGACTCAGGTGTTGCTGCTTTACTGCTTGGAGATTGAGTTGTTTCACCCACTCCTGCTCCTGTGGTCCCTGGTAAAGTGAATAGGAACATGAATTAAGATGGTCAAAGTAAATCAAACCATCACATTGCTTCTGCTTTCAAGTATCTTCTAAGTATTTATTTATATTTCTCCATTTTAATCGATCTGTTAGAACTTGATAGTAATGTATGGTATATCCTAATGATAACTATGTGCTTTCTTCACTATTGAATACAAATAGGTTGTGTGTGTGTGTGTGTGTGTGTGCGCGCGTGCGTGCTGCTTCTGGGGCTTAAACTCAGGGCCTGAGTGCTGTTCCTGAGCACTTTTTTTGTTCAAGAGTGGCACGCTACCATTTGAGCCACAGTTCCATTTCTGGCTCTTTTGGTGCTTCCTTAAGAGATATGAGTCTCACAGACTTACCAAGCTGGCTTTGAGTCTCAGTCCTCAGATCTCAGCCTCCTGAGTAGCTAGGCATGAGCTTTTTAAGTTTTGTTTTAGTTGTTTTTCAGTTTTGCATGAGTTTTGGTCAGTATCTTAATTTTGTTCGGTATTTCAGTACTTAAAACCTGAAATATTTGTTCCATATTTTAAAGATGAGCCTAGCACCATACATTAGAAAAAAATACCTTGTGATCCTTTATAAACTCTATATGGCTGGCACTTCTGCCACCAGCCTAAGTTCAGTGCAAGGCTTTGTTTAGTTCTGGGAAATTGACTCTAGAGGATTCTTTTGCTGACCCTAATGGTTCACCATGTACCAGCCCATACCTACAAATGCAGAAGGCCAAAGACATGGATCCTGAAATCATCATGGAAGAGTGTGACAATGATAGATGCTAACAACTGAGCAATGTGATAGCATGCCATCTAACTCACACCTATCACCGCCACCCGGTGAAGTCTGCACTCTGCTACTCTAGCCCTAAAATTCCCTTCCATTGCACACCAACTTCCAACGACCAGAAAGGGGACACATATGCAGGCTACATTTAATTTCTCCCTTTTCCTCACCTGATCTGTCCCTAGCTGAGGTTGTGGCTGGTCTGGGGGAGGTTCCAGGACTCGCAGTGGTGGAACTTGGAGGCACTGCTGTGCTTCCTAGGATCAAGAACACGTTGAGAGGTTTTGACAATGTACATGTTATTTCTGCACCCACGTGAATACTTGGGTATTTCAGTGGAAGACAATTCCTCCTATTTTCTCACCCTCATACTCTAATACAAATTAGAACCCACCCTACAGAACACTGCTTCCTGTAGGATGGCAAGGGTGGGATCTGTTGAGATCTCACATCCAGCCAGATGTGGAAGGAACTTACCAGAAGCTGTGGCTCCTGTGCCTACTTCTCCAGAGGTGGTGCCTCCTGCAGCTCCAGAAGTTGCTCCAGATGGTGCCCCAGGGGTGTCTGATAATGATTAGGGAAAAGCTCTTATCAGCCTGAGATGACATAAAGCTAGATTCCTTCCTGGAAGTATCATGAAATATTCTTGCTTTACCTTGTCGGACGAGGTTTATCTACCTATAAATGTTCTTATGGTAATGCATGTAATTCTGATATGTGCTAATTCCTTGAAGACGCTCTTCCTTTATAAAATATTATAAATTAGGTTCCTTGTTGGTTATTCCATACTGAATGGGCTCCCGTCTTTATAAGTTTTCTGATTCAGTTCCACTCCATTCCTACCTTGCTTTTTATTTGGCCATTTTAGCCTACGTGAATGTATTTCATGCTCCCCAAATAAACTTAAGTAAGGAGACGGATAAGCTCCTCTACATTTCCTATATTCCACACAACATCTAATGTGGTATTAGGTACACACTAATAACTTCGGATGCATTTGTCTGTGTAATTATACTAGTACAATGCTATGATGCTCTCCCACTTCCCCAAACAACTGTGTGTCTGACTAAACCTTGAGCACCAAGAACCTCTGTCTCCAAATCGGATCCCATGTCACTAGAGCTCTTTCCATACCTGTCCTTCCAGATGTGCTCCCACCAGATGTTTGGGTGGTGAATGTTTCTGCTCCTCTGCTAGTTTCTAATGGGCAGAAGAATAGTGCTTAATGCACGTAAATGATTACTTACTAAATACTTCTTATAGGACATTTCTAGTTTCTGCATGGTATTCATTCTGAGAGTGTTATCTCCATGCACATTTCCCTGATTTCTCACATCACTTACTGCCTCTTGCCCTAGATTGTATTGCCCCCACCATAACCACTCAGGAGGTTCTGCCTTGCCTGTGAGGTATGCAGAGCTGGTGGCCCCAGTGCCTGATGGGCCAGGTGTACTTTTCCTCCCTGAGTCTGAGGTTGATGTTATGGATTCTCCTGTTGTACCTGAAAAAAAGAACATGCCACAGCTGTGTTTTGAATATATGCTAGTTCTACAAGGGGACAGGGGGAGAATTCAAGCCAAAATTGCAATTTTCTTATATGTTTTCTTCATTTATTGAACAGACCACCTATATTTGGTCTGTGAGCACACTTAATGGGCAACAAGCTTATTAAAGTAGCTTTTTGGTAGGTAATTGGAGAGAAGAGTCTTGTGGACTTTTCTGCCTGGGCTGGCAGAATAGCCTTCTGAATAGCAAGGATTATAGATATGAGCTACCATTGTCCAGCTAAGATAGTACATTTTAATGTTTATAAAAATAGGTCTGATGCTACATTTAGAAAAAATACTATAAGTGGCATTTGTGAAATCCACTGTTTGGCAGGGACCAGCATGCTCTGCTTTACACTTAGGTTACCTGGTCTGTCCCTAGTAGTAGTGAGGAAAGATATCTATCTGCAGATATCTATCTATCTATCTATCTATCTGGTAGACGTAATAGATACAGACTTTCTTCTTAGAGTTCTTTAATTTTGTTTTATTGCAATTTTATTTAATATTTCATGTGGAAATTGCAATAAAAGCAAAACTAACATTCTTCTGCTTGTCCTAGTCTATCTAGGACTTCATCCATTAGGAGAGTTGGAATGTATGACTCTTTCCTTCAATAAGAAGACCCCTACTTTGAGCTCTCTGCTCTACTCACCTGACTTTTTACCAGATGGTGTTGGCTCACTGCTTGGGGATTTAGTTGTTTCTCCAATGGTTAATTCTGTGGTCCCTGTCAAAGCGAACATAACCAATCAGTTTCTTTGTTAGGGAAAAATAAATTATGGTATACTCTGCTTTTAGATATCTTGTACATATTTATGTACACTTCTCCATTTCAGACTTACTCCACACATTACTAGTAAACATGTGGCCAATCATTAGAATTCCTGTGTCTGAGGATCTACCTACTCATGTGTTAAATCATCTTATTTGTATCCAACTGGATGAATATTCCAAAATTTGAGCCTAGGGCTTTGGAAATTGAGCTGCACACTGAAAATTTCAGCTCCTTTAAGGTTGTTTTGTTTTTTTGGGTCCGGTCGTGGGGCCTAAACTCTGGGCCTGGGCGCTGTCCCTCAGCTCTTCAGCTCAATGCTAGAGCTCTACCACTTGAGCCACAGCACCACTTCCGGCTTTTTCTGCTTATGTGGTGCTGAGGAATCAAACCCAGGGCCTCAGGCATACAAGGCAAGCATTCTACCACGGAGCCACCTTCCCAGCCCAATTTCAGATCCTTTATAAAATACTTAGCCTGCAACATTCTGCCAAAGATCAAGGTACAGTGTGAAGGATTATTTAGTTATACTGAATGTCTCCAGTGGGTTTCTTTTGGTGAGAGGATGGCAAAACCTGTGTCCTCCCACATTTGGGCCCAAGAAGATCAAAAGACGCGATTCCTGAAGTCATTATACCGTAGGTATTCTAACAATCAGACATTACCCAATGTCCGTTACTATAGAACACTCTCTGATATAGATCCATCCTTGTTCCCGGCTGAAGTCTGGATGGATTATTCCAGTCTTAAAACCCCTTTCCATTGTACCTCAGCTTCCAGGCACAAGTAAGGGGACAGACATGCGGGCTCCATTGCATTTGTCCATTTGTCCTTACCTGATCTGCTGCTAGCTGAGCTTGTGGCTGATTGAGCAGAAGCTCCAGGACTGGTAGCCGTGGGACCAGAAAACACTGTTGTGGTTCCTAGAACTAAGAGCATGTTGGAAGGCTGGGTAAAAGGGTGCATGATACTTCAGCCGTGATTTGGCAGTTTCAAAAAAAGAAAAAGAGAAAGACATAATTCCTTCATCTCTCCCCAACCCTGTGTTCCAATAGCAGCTAAGGTTAATGTTTTTTACAGACCCATATGAGCTTCGAAATGGAATGGTTGAGGACCGTTAAGGTCTCTTGTCCAGCTGGATGAGCTTACCAGGAGCTGTGGCTCCGGTGCCTGCTTCTCCAGAGGTGCTACCACCTGCAGCTCCCGGGCTTGTTCCAGCTGCTGCTCCAGAGGTTCCTGATATTGATCACAGAAAAATGATCATCCAAAGATCACATAACATTAGGTGCTTTCATGGGAGCTCCATGAGCTACACTTGCTTTAAACTTGGAAGAAATGGCTGTTTCTACCTAGAAATACTACTTTCTCGTTAAATCCTTAATCTAAGCAAATCACACAACTCAGATTGTTCCATTAAGATGTTCTTCCCTCATAATGGAGTAAATCATGTGCATTATTCAATATCCAACCCTGAATGAACTCCTGTCTTCTTGAAAATATTCTTAGATTCAGATTGCAAGTGATCTACTTCATTCCTGCCTTGCTTTCGATTTTCTCTTTGCCTCCATTTATTTTCCAATGGTTCCAAAATAAACGTGGGTGAACATAGATGCTTTCCCTTCTGTTTCCCACGTGCCACACAGTATCATACATAACATTAGCTACACCACAAATATTTGCTGATGTGTTTCTGATCTTGTAGTTACATAAATAACAATAACAAGATGCCCCACATAACTGTTTCTCTGACTAAATCTGGAGGACAAACTCAAATGTCTATTGTGGGGACTCCATGTGGGCTGTGGGGCCTGACCTTCCAGATGTGCTCTTCCGAGGGGCACTGGTATGGCTGCCTCTGTTCTTCTACTAATGGGAAAAAGCCTGGTGCTTAATGCACAGAAACAATTGTTCACTAACTATTTTCGCTGGACATTTCATTTCTTTATTCCTACAGGGTTGCCTTTGGTCACATTCCTCTTATTTCGTGATTGTTTTCCTCATGTCTTGACACAGCTTGTATCAGGCCCCACCCAACCCCTTAAGGAAGTGTCCTCTTGCCTGGGGTATGCAGAGCCTGTGGCCCCAGTGCCTGATGGGCCAGGTGTTTCTGCCTGTTTCTGACAAATGTTCCCACTGACCCTCCCACTGTACCTAAAAATACAGTAGCAGCAGTATCATTTCATGCTAGCAAAAGGGGATGATGGAATAGTCATTAAATTTGCAACTTCTTGTATGTTTATATCACTTATGTTTTGATGTTAGTAAACAAAAGGCTATGGTGACTCACCTGGGTTTCCTGGGCTTGTTGCTCTGGTGCTATGCTGTCCTGTGTGCGTGCTGCTTTCCTGAACACTGGGTGTGGGTGTGGTAGGACCTTCTGTTTCTACCGATAAAAAAAATTATATAGCTGGATGTCTGTGGCTCATACCTGTAATCCTATCTACTTTCAAGAACACTAGGCTTTGAGATGTGAAGATCACAATTCAAATCTAGCCTGAGCAGGAAAGTCTGTGAGATTCTTATTTCTAGTAAACTCCCCCTAAAAGAGCTGAAAAAGCCTAAGTATAGCTGTGGCTCAAGTGATAAAGCACTAACCTTGAGGAAAAAATCTCAAGGACAGTGCCCAAGCCCTGAGTCTGAGTTCAAGTCCCAGGATTGGTGCACATGCATGGACATACATATACACAAACCAATAATTTATATAATATGTAAATGACACACTTACTATAATCAACTCATTTTCCCTTACATGGTGCTGTTTATACAGTATATATGGAATGTGGCTGAGAGGTCTGCTCCAGTTCATCCAGCTAATTAACAGCCAAGTCTTAGAGTCAAACTCAAGCCCCAGAATTGATATCACAGCTCATGTCTATCATTTCTCTCTCTTTTTTGTTGTTGGTTGTGGGGCTTGAACTTGGTCTGGGTGCTGTCCCTGAGCTTCTTTGTGCTTAAGGCTAGTGCTCTACTACTTGAGTCACAACACAACTCCAGGCTTTTTTGAGTAGTTTATTGAAGATAAGAGTCTCAGGGGCCTTTTCTGTCCAGGCTGGCTTCAAACTGTGATCCTCAGGTCTTATCCCCTTAAGGATAAGGAGCTAGGATTACAGGCGTGAGCCACCAGTGCCTGGCTCATTCCTCTCTTTGATCAAGGACTAACTGTAAATTTTCCTCCACTGACTGACAGATGCTTTGAACAATTCTATAAAAGTAAATGGCAAGCTGGGAGTCAGTTGCTCATACCTGAAATCCTACCTACTTGAGGCGACAGCTGATCATAGTTTGAAGCCAGCCTGGGCTGGAAAGTCTGTGAGAGTCTCCAACTAATTACAAAAACCAGAACTGGAGCTGTGGTTCAAGTGATAGAGTGCTAGCTGTGGGCAAAAATGCTCAGGGATAGCATCTAGTCCCTGAGTTCAAGCCTCAAGACCAGCACACAAGAAGGGAGAAGGAAAAAGGAGGAAGAAAGAGGAGGAAAGGAGGAGGCGAAAGAGGAAAAGGAGAAGGAAGAAGAAGAAGAAAAGAAAGAAGGAAGAAGAAAGAAGGAAGAAGCAAGAAGAGGAGGAAGAAGGAAGAGGGAGAGATAGAGGAAGAATCTCAATAACAAATTACATGGCTCTCTGATTAACTGTCACTAATATTCATGCCCTTGTTACCATAGGACATTGATAGTTTAGCGTAACACTCTCATTAGGATCCCTGGGTGTGCTTACTTACTTGTTGAATACAAACACATTTGTTTTTCAGTTACTTGTTTAATATCTAAAAACTGAGCTTAGTGTTTCTGAAAGCAGACAGTACACTGAGAATACATGTGATTGTTCATGGAGTTCTTATGCCTGGCCCTTCTGCCAAGGGCTCTAGGTTCCCTATGGAGGACTCTGAAGTTAACTCTGCAGGAATGTGCCCTGTGGTTTCCTTTTCTTGACAGAATACAAACCATGTTCCCACCCTGCCCCTACAGCCTCAGAAGCTCAAAGCCCCAGACTCCTGAACTGATCATGGCCACCATACCTTAGGAATGCTAACAACTGGACAGCATTATAGAATATACTATAACAGACCTACCAATATTTCCTGATAAACTGTTTGATTCCCTTAACTATAGTATCTTTAATTGTCCTTTGACTTCTACCCTCAGATGCAAGGTACAAGTAAAGTACATTTGATACCTCTCTTATTCTTACCTGAGCTTCGGCCACCAGAGATGGTGGTTGGTCCAGTAGAGGCTCCAGGGCTAACAGTGGTGGGACCAGCAGACAATGCTGTGCTTCCTAGATCCAAGAGAAGGTTGGGATTTTGGGGAAGGTTTGTATGTTACTATGACTCGCTGGGAGTTAGAGAAAAGAAAAGACACAGTTCTTCCAACTCTTTTTAGTCTTATACTCTAATACCAGTTGGAGCTTGACTCTATTCAACATCACTTGAAGTGGGATGGCATGGATGGCAAATGCTTATCACTCACCAGCAGCCCATCTATACTTACCTACACCTGTGGCTCCAGTGGCTACGTTTTCAGGGGTACTGCCTTCTGAAGACTCATGGGTTGTTCCAGATAGAGATTCAGGAGTGGCTGATATTAAGCATGAAAAAGTTGATCAGCCTAAGATCACATCAAGTTAGATCCTTTCATGGTGTTTACCAGGAAATACACCTGTTTGTTCTCAAGGAAATGATGGTATCACTTCTGCGTTAACTTCTGAAGCATATAACCCTGATTATGTGTTACTTCCAGTAAGATGTTCCTTCTTTATTACACATTCACTAGTCAGCACTGAATCAGCTCCCTCCTTTAATGTCTTCTATAATTCAGTTCAAAACTCTCTTCACTTCATTCTTGCCTCACTTTTTTGTCTTTTCATCCTATGTGAACCTATGTGATTTTCAATGTATCCAATATCCAGTGAAGTACAGAAATATATATATATATATATTCCCCTTGACACTTCCTATGTGCCACACATCCTCTATTGCAATATTGGGTCTACAAAATGCCTGTTGATGTATTATGATCTTCTTAGCCTTGGAATTATATCAGTGACAATGCTAGGATGCTCCCCCACTTCCCCAAGCAATGTGTCTCTGACTAGATGTTGAGTATAAAGTGCTTTGGTCTCCTGCCCGGATCCCATGTCACTTGAGCTTTTTCCATACCTGTCCTTCCAGATGTGCTCCTGCTGGAGACTCTGCTGGTGGTAGCTGCTTTTGCTCCTCCACTAGTTTCTAATAGGAAGAAGAAGAGTGATTAGTTCATGTAAATGGATACTTACTAAATATTCTTTACAGGACATTTTGGCCTCTTTATCTTATTATCATTCTAGGGATGATATTGTTTTGCAGCACATTACTCTAATTTTATGACCATTTCTTGGGTCTTGTCAAAACTTTTTAGACCTCATCATAGCCCCTGGCTCTGCCTTGCCTTCAGGGTGTGTAGAGCTGGAGACCAGGGTGGCTGAGGGTCCAGATGTGCTGGTCAGACCTGATGCTGAGCTTGCTCCCACTGACTCTCTTGTACCTGAAAAACACAGCAGCAGTAGTTCCAACACAAGCAAGTTCCAAAAAGTTCAAATTTTTAAAAAATGCAACCGTCTTGTATGTTTCCTTTGCTCATTCATCAACTTACCTGTTTAGATGCTTCCACTTATTTAAAGAGCACCTAAATGCTTATAGTGACTCACCTGAATTTCCTGGACTTGTGGCTCCTGGGTACAGTTCCCTGGGTGTGCTTCCTTTCTCAACACTAGGTGTGGGTACTGTGGTGCCTTTAGTCATGACTGATTAAAAAGCATATAGATAGATATAGATAAGTAATGAATCAAAGCACACAAATTAAATTTGTCTTATTTTTTTCTTAAGATAACCCCATTTCACAGAATATATTCTTCTTCTCATTGATGAAATATGGCTGAAACACCCAAGACAGGTCATCCATCTAATCACAGTCAAGTCTTAGAGCTGAACTCCAACAGTTGAGGCCAGGAAGCAGCACCATTGAAAAGCTGCTTTCCAATCCATCTGTGGCAAATGACTAATTTGGTAAAGTTTCCAGTAAGACTGAATAGATGCTCACCTTATGATAAATGGCAAATGTGTAATTCAAAATGGAAACTCTTATAAAACCTTGTTGAACTGCACTACACAACCAATGGTGAAATGTGTAATTTAAAATGGAAGGGGAAAAGTCATACAAAACTCAAGGTTTTCATTACTAGATGGAAGATACTAGTTCTGCATGGTATATATCCTAAATGGAAAGCTGGAGGTGAAGCCCAGAAAGACTGAAGAGAGCAGGGGTTCTCGGCTTTGAAGATCACCAGTGGCCTACAGGACTAGGTCGCTTATGCCTGCTGATGTTGATCAAATTGTGATCCAGACAGAGGTGTAGCATAAATGGAACTCTAACCAGCTCCATGGAGGTGGCCATACTTCTGGTCTAGAGATCACATTTTCAACTCCAATGTCTAGGGAAAGTACTGTAGGGTCACAGTGGAGTATAGTCAACACCTTAACCACAGCAGAGGCATCAGCAAACACATAGCATAGCAGTTATCACAAAAGTGTTCATTGACTGCAGGTGTCAGCATGTAATAAAACTGCCTTGGATTCAACCACATCATCTATGTGTAAAGAATAACAATACCCTGGTTGTGAGTGACAAGAATTAAGCTTTATTCCATGATGCCCAAGGAAAAGCGTCTTCTCAGAGGGTTTTGTAAGGTGTGAGCTCTAACACTGATCACAGAATGTAGAGACAACATCTCGACTGGAGCCTTAGGAATCTGGGTTCTAATAGTTCTAATTTTGCCTCTGCTAGATTAGAGATCTCTCAATGTTTGCTAAATGCATGCTGATTCATCATACACAAAACTGTGATAACTAAAGATAAATTGTAAAGCATATATTGGAGCAAAATTCAGACATTCCAGAGTAGCAAATATCTACATCCCTGATACTTTTTTTGACATAGAATCTTTTTGTTTTCTGGAAAGCTCTTTGCTGTCTTGGACATCTGTAATATGTGGCCCCTCTCTATGAGGGTGAACTATGGAGGGTTAGGTTGCTCCTTACGTGTAATGGAGGACTGCCTGGGGAAACACCCTGTGGCATAAAGCATTGCCTCATTGCTTGGTCTCACCTTCTATGAAAACTGGTTCCTCGTTATTCTCATCTCCAGTTGTCTCTGAAAAGTTAAAAAAATACATGATTGAAGAACTGCCTGACAGTTTTTGATTCTCAAGGTGGTCAGAACATAAATAGGTCATGAAAAGACTACAGGTAACATTTTAATCCTTACAAAGCATATGTCCGATAAAGTATTTGGGGGAAAATATGCACACCATTTCTCAAACAAGTTGTTTGCCTGGGCCCAGTGCACATTGTACCACATTGAGTTTACCTGCTCTGCCCACAGTGGTCGTGAGGCCAGGGCTTGGGACTGCTGTGCTGCCTATAGTTCCAGCTGTGGACAAGATGGGAACTGAAGTGCTAGCAGAGCCTGAGAAAACACCAAAGGAATTTGATAGTAAAATGTAGTACTATCATCAGGGTCCCTGTGTGTGCTTCCCTACTTGACTAAAGCCACCAGCACAACCATGTTCACTGCAGTATTTACCATAGTCAAGATGTGTAATCAGCCCATATGTTCCTCAATGGATGAATGGATCAAGAAAATGTGGTATATGTACACAATGGAATTCTATGCTTCCATCAGAAAGAATGGCATTGCCCCATTTGTAAGGAAAAAATTATATTAAGCAAAGTGGTTTCCCTCACTTGTGGTAGCTAAAATGTGCCAATTAATCTACAAGTAAACACACTGGATAGTAAGAAAACAGAGTACACTAGGATATGATAAATTATACAGGTCTCAGCATTCACGCACAATGAGACCAGAGGATACTCTTAGGAGAGGACCATATAAGTGCAATAGTTATGTGCATCTGATCATACAAAATAATATTTATTGAAATGAACGCCAGGAAAAGGAAACAGAGTTTTTTTTCCTTGTTTGTTTATCTATCTTTGGGATGGTAAGGGGAGGTACAGAAATGGAAGGACAAAGGGTGAACAAATGCAGCAGTAATACTCACTACACACTATGTTGAAAATAAACTTTACAAATTGTTGGTAATTGCATTGTGTGTGTGTGTGTGTGTGTGTGTGTGTGTGTGTGTGTGTGTGTGTGTGTGTGTGTGCTGGTACTGGAGCTTAAATTCAAGGCCCGGGCACTGTCCCTTAGGCTGGCACTCTAACACGTGAGCCATAGCTCTACTTCCAGCTTTGTGCTGATTAATTGCAGGTAAGAGACTCGCGGTCTTTCCTGCTCAGGCTGGTTTTGAACCCTGACCTTCAAATCTCAGCCTCCTGAGGAGGTAGGGTTATAGGCATGAGCCATTGGTGCCAGGCAGCATTATTTTTACAATGACCACTTTTTGTATCTTGATTTCAACCAGTCCTCAACCCTCTGTGATGTCTTCCACTCACCTGAATTGCTTACAGATGGAGTCAGCTCATGGCTTGAGGATACGGTTGTCTCAGCAGATCGTCCAGTGGTGCCTTACAAAACAAATGAGGAAGAGACATAATTTTGATGTGGTTGTAGACATTGTGCTGATTTGCTTTCACAGCGTCTTTCATTGATTTGTAGAGACCTACCATTTCTGTCTTAATCTTTCCAAAACCTGATCATGTCATCTTGTATGATCCTTAGAATCCCAGCGAGTGCTTACTCACTTGCACATGAAAGTTAGACTATTCATGATAACTACTTCCTTCATATTTATGAATTGGAGCCTACAGGGTCTGACCTGCACTACACATTGGAACCAACAGAGGCTTTAAAATACGTTTATGCTTCTGGGTGTCAGTGGCTCATGCGTCTAATCTTAGCTACTCAGGAGGCTGAGATCTGAGGATTGTAATTCAAAGTCAGCCCTGGCAGGACAGTCTGAGATTTTTCTCAAAGGAAGGACAAAAATAGAGCTGTGACTCAAGTAGTAGAGCATCAGCCTTAAGCAAATAAAGTTCAGGGACAGTGCCCAGGTCCTGAGTTCAAGCCCCAGGGACAGTAAAATTTATATATATATATATGTATATATATATATATATATTATAGTGTGTATATTCTATAATTGATATTGTATGTGTGTGTATCTGTAGAAACATATACATACACACCACAAACCATGGTCCCAAGTTCAAAGACTCAGCTCTAGAGCAGAAGCACCGGCCTCATTATGGCTCCTAAGTCCGTTCAGGAATCCTGACATTTGTATGCAATTATAGAAATACCATCTATTACAGTTCGCCGCTGCTACGTGTTGAAGTTTGCTCAGGAATCAGGCTCCCTTTCTACAGCTCTGACTCATCAGGATCAACAGATAAACACATAGCGATGCTCCCATACTCCATTGACCTGAAAATCCACCTGATCTGTAGCTGCCAGAGGTTATGGCAGGTCCAGCAGAGGTTTCAACAGGTCCAGTAGCGGTTCCAGGGTGGGCTGAGCTAGGGCCTGCAGACAGGGCCGTGGTTCCTGGAAGCGAGGACAGACTGGGTGGTTAGGGGAGTGTACACGCTACTCCGGACATGACTGTGAATACTTGAACATTTTCCTAATAGGAAAGTGAAATAGACTCTGCTTATCCCTGTAGTTTACTCTCAGTCAGTGGCTGATTTTATAGACCAGCGCCTGCCACAAGAGTACACATGGGGAAGCGAGGGCAGCATCCAGTACACGCTGTCAGAACTTACCAGAAGCTGTGGCTCGGGTGCCTGTCTCACCAGAGGTACTGCCCTCTCCACTTCCAGTGGTTGCTCCAGATGACACCCCAGGTGTACCTGGTATTTGTCATGTGAGGAAAATAAAAAGGGCAGGTTAAGAAAACATAAAGGGAAGGATCCTTGTGCAGGTGACCTGGCATATTCATTCTTTTCTTCATTTTACAAAGTGGATGTGTAGATGTCATACACTTCATGATAGCTTATCATCTTTCTCAAGGCAAATGACCAAAAGCAGGGAACTATGGTCAGTTACTCATCGCATTAAAATATGTCTCAATAACATTTGACCACACAGCTCAGATGTCTACCATTTAGATCCCACCCTGGGCTGAGGTCCTTCCATACCTGCTCTTCCAGCTGTGTTCTCATGAGCAGCTGTGGTGGTGGCTGAATCTGCTCCTCCACTGGTTCCTGTGGGAAGAAGAATGATGTTGTTGTCATTGATGGTGGTTGGTTGGTTGGTTGGCTTAAGAGCCATCAATGTAGATGGTCCTGTCTCTATCTTCCTAATCCTGGGATTATAGGTTCTCATTACCATGTATGACAAGAATGCGTCTTAAAATATGGTCCTCTGGGTGCTTTCCTTAGATGCATTCTTCTAATTATTTCCTACATTCTCCTCATTATTTCCTACAATGCAATTCCCTAGCCTTCCTCTAACCATCCTATTTTGGAACAAACAGCTGATGTCAGTCCCACCACGGTCCCCCAAGTAGACTCTTTCTTGCCTGCTGGTGCAGAGCTGGTGGCTCCAGGGGTGGATGGTCTGGGTGTACTTCTGCCTGACTGTGTGGTTGTTCCCACTGATTCACCAGTTGTACCTAAAAAACACAGTATTGGGGACTCTAAAGCCTAGCATTTCTCCCAAGGTAGAAGACTGGCTAAGGTTAAACTTTGGATCTTTTTGAACACTTCTAAAACGATTTTTCCAGCGGCTGATGAACTTTGATATTTGCATCCACTTGTAGACACTACAAGTGGCTGTCTTTACTCACCTGGGTTTGCTGGGTGTGTAGCTCCAGTGCTTAGTCTCTGGGGTGTGCTGCCCTCTTCCCCAGGAGGGGTGTGGGTGGTAGGGCCTCCTGTAACTACTGATAGAGAGGAAATGGACATGTAAAAATTGCCCAATTGTACTTGCACTTTTAACCTCATATAAACCTTCAAAGGCTGGGAGTATTTTCCTTCCCATTTATCAGACATAAGGTGAAGTGACTTGTACCAGGCCACCCCATTGGATGACAGAAGATCCAGAAGCCAAATGCCACATTTTGGCCCCAGAACCTAGTTCTGACCTGGGCTTCCCAATGATCTGTGACAAAGACTACTCTTTAAAAAGTTCCATATTATGCTGAATGAGTGCTTTTAGAAAATGTACAAATGTAGATCCAGATTTTATATTATACATACACATATACGCATGTGTATATACAGATATACATATATATACACATTTCTATGTGTGTATATATACACACATACACATACACACATATACATTTACTAATTGCACTTACAGTATGGCTTTTATTACAAAAATACTTTTTCCCAGTTTTAACTGATTTACACCATATCTTCATACAGTTATCTTAACTCCTTTGCTAAAATATAGCCAGGATTCCTTTGACCATCAACCACTCCTCACCTGACTTGGCCTGGGTTGTTGTCGATTCCCTGCTTAGAGCTTTAGATGTTTCACTAGCTGATGGTTCGCTGGTGCCTGTCACACAACAATAGACATTTGTCATAATCTTTCATCAAAAACTAAGTCATATTTCAAAATTATCTTCCATATACTCATTTGTACTTTAACATTTCTGACTCACTCTTACCCAAAAAGACTCATCAAATGAAATGTGAGTGTTAAAAATAGCCAAAAATATGAATTTGCTTATTGTGTATGTGTTTTTGCTTATACTTGCTTCTTTAATATTAAAATATTGGGATAAAGTGCTCCATGATACAAGATGACTTTTGGAAGCAACTGTGAAGCTTTTATAACATACGTATGTGCCTGATTCTTCCATCAGAAGCCTTCATTCACTGCGTCTCTGCAGGACTCATGGTTTATTTCAAAACTGTCCTTGGAATCACCTTGGGCCATGAGCATACTAAGGGCTACAACTAATAGGACAAGATGACAGGAATAGCATCTAATCCTGACTGTCTGTGCTCTACTGTTGTTAAGGAATGAGATTCTAAAACTCCAGTCTCATCCTATTTATTCCCCTCTTGACACTGTCCTACACACCAAGAATGATGGAGTTTACCATACACTCCCTTAACCCCTAAACACTCAAGCCCTCTTCTCCTTCCTCACCCTGTGTGCCGCTAGCAGTTGTTGTAGCTGGCCTGGATGAGGATCCGGGGCCTGGAGAGGTAGAGCCAGAAGTCACTGCTGTGTTCCCTGGAACCAAGAGCAGCATGGGAGATGAAAATACTGTATACGTTACTCCTAGCAATGCCATGAGGACTTGAGAAAAAGACAAAGACCCAATCCCCAACCAACTCTCTTAAACTCTATTCCATTCCCTGCCTAAGTCTGATTTTACAGATGAAGACCTATTGAAAAAAAAATCACATCAGGGAGAGATGCTGAGTTGCCAGCCAGGTGGCCCTGACAAGATCCTGGGGTTCTTGTGTGTAAATTTCCAGGTAGTACTGTCACCTTCATGGTTGTTCCAAATGACACTCAAGGTGTGCCTGGTAGGAGAGCTCTACCAGCACTAGGCTTTACTGGAAAACAAAGAAGCAACTCTCAGACTAGTCCTTCTGCAAGGAGATACAGAAAGATGCTGCTTAAGCAAACAAAGTCTTGGGATCGTTATAAATAGGACCTGACATAGGTTTGCTTTTGCTTTTCCTTTTGACAAAGTGAAGGGATCTATCCCATAATTTTCCCTAAAGTTCTTGTTCTATATATATCAAGGGAATGTAGCACTGAATCTATACTCATGATCAGAAACTCATGAGCCATGTACCCTAAGGTACTTTGTAATGAATGAAATATAGCAATCACTGGACACCAGTGGCTCATACCTGTAATCCTAGCTACTCCAGAGGCTGAGAACTGAGGATTGTGGTCGAAGTCAGCCAGGGGAAGGAAAGGCCATAAGACTCTCTTATCTCCAATTAACACCAGAAAACTGGAAGTGGAGCTGTGGTTCAAAGTAGTAGAGCACTAGCCTTAAGCAAAAACGCTCAGGGACAGCACCCAGGCTCTGAGTTCTAGCCCCACAACCAAGAAAAATAAAAATAAAAAAAATAGTAATTGTGTAGGTACATTAGCATTTAATTTTGAATGCTCTGATCTATTGTTTGTTTTCTAGTTGTCATAAAGGTAAAGTACAGAGGGATTAATGTTACCTAGGTTAGGTAACAAGTCTATTTCTTTTTGGATGTCACCCCTTCTCCGTTCTTTAATTATCTTAGGGTCCACTTCATACAGTAGATTTTTGTCATGCTTATGCTTCATCTCTAAGCATGTATGAATATTGATTGTGCCTTCGCCATCATGAACTAAAGTGTGAGAAATGTGTGCTTCTCAAGCTCTTCCTGTATGCTACAGTATGTGTTTTGGTCCTATGTCAGGGCTGGGTCACTCACCCTGAGTGTTTTGTTGGTGGTGGTGGTGGCTTTTTGGTTTTTTTTGTTTTCTGTTTTTTTGTTGTTTAAGACTAGTACTCTACCACTTGAGCCTTGGTGCTATTTCCAATTTTTTTTGCTGCTTAATTGGAGATGAGAGTTTCATGGAATTTTCTGCACTGGCTGGCTTCAAACATGGATCTTCTGATCTCACCTTCCTGAGTTGCTAGGATTATAGGCCTGAGCCACCAGTGCTCAACTCCACAATACTTCTTAAAGAGTGTTATTAAAAAAATAGCTGTTGTATTTTCCTAATTTTCTGGACATGGACCATCACCAAAGTAACAGCAGCTAGACTGCCCAGGAAGCCCCTCTCTAATTACACATAGAGCATATGTGCACCCCTGTCTACCACCTCATGCTGGGCTGGATTTGCTTCTTCCATACCTGGTTTTCCAGGTGTGCTGATACCAGCAGCTGTGGTGGTAAATGTATTCGCTCTTCCACTGGTTCCTGTGGGAAGAATGGTGTTTTTGGTTTGCTTGGTGTTTTTTGGTGTACTTTTTTTTTTTTAGATTTATCAAAATCACAGGCTGGCCTTGAACTTGCCCCGAAGGCTTCCCTAAGGCTGAGATTACATATGTACACCTCCATGCCAGACAAGAGGATAGTTCAAAAGATACAGGGATCTATGTAAAATATCCTGTGGACCTTTCTTAGATGCATTCTCATTGTAACTTCCTACAATGTTATCTCTAGTGCCCTAATTTTATTCTCATTATCTTGCTTTGGGATCAGCAAAGCTTGTGTTGGGCTCTAACACAGTCCCCCCAAAGTGAGTTTTGCTTGCCTGTGGGGTGTGCAGGGCCAGCATCCCCAGAACCTTATGGTCAGTGGTCAGGGTGTGCTCCTCTGTCTGGTCCTGAGCTTGCTCCCCCAGACTTGTCTGTTGCTCCTGGTAAACACAGCTAACAATGACTACAAGGCACACTAGCTCTCCTGAAGCTGAAATCTCCAGAACATTTGATCTTGAACATTAGTTCTCTTCCAACATTATCTTTTCTTTCCCCCACAGCTGTCCTGCTTTGACACTTGGATCTACATCGTCTACATCTTGCGTTACCTGAGATTCCTGGGCTTGTAGCTCCAGTGGCTAGCTCCCTGGCTGTGCTGGCTTCCATTGTACCAGCTGTGGGTGACGCTGGGCTTCCTGGCCCTACTGATGACAAAAAGGTGGGCATGTGAAAGTTGTCGCATTATAGTCAGCACATGTAACTTCACCCAAACCCTCTGCTTCTGTCAATGTTGCTCTTCCCATGGTCAGGTATGGTTCGTTGACTTCCTCCAGATCAACCAATTGGACGACAGCAGATGCAGAAGCCACACTCTTAGGTATGCTGAGCACTGAATTGAGCTCTGACTCGAGATATATTTAATGATCTTTTTAATTTAATCTCTTTAATTTATCCTGATCATCTAAAATAATGTTTATCAAAATGAACTCCAGGAGATGGAAATGAAAGGCTTTTTTTTCTTTTCAAAAATGAGTAAAAAATTTCTATGATGTGTTAGATTGAAGCATTTAGAACATTTAGAAAGGTCTATTGAGATACATTACTTTTCATTCGTCAACCCTAATATAGCACTAGCCTTTATTTCATACAAATAAGCTGATTGTGACAATCTACAGATTCTAAGTACTTGCTTTCCACTCTTGAGACTATCATGGACAAGCATGCAGTAACAGCAAAGCTGTGCTCTTAGGAATGTTTAGTATGAATGAATGGTACTGTGGAAATATGCTTAGAATGAAGTATTTATCACTTCTGTCTCATCTGCTAGAGTATGTGTCTCCTCCACTGTCAATTGAATGGCTTCATGTTATCAGCATATAATTACACCACTAGAAGAAAACCATCCAGTGTATTTCTGATGATCCTTGCCTGATACTTGGATCAATTATTCTTTTCTTTAAAATTTGTTTACTAAATGCATTTTCCCACACTTAACTGATTTACACTAGATCTTCACACGGTTTTCTTAACTCCTTTGCTAAAACATAGGCAAGTGTCTGATGAACAACTTTCCCTTTGCACAGAAGTCTTGACCTGTGGGACACTGGCAGCTCACACCTGTAACCTAGCTTCTCAGAAGGCTGAGATCTGAGGATCACAGCTCGAAGGCAGCAGGAAAATCTGTGAGACTCTTATCTCCAATTAACCACCAGAAAACTGGAAGTGGCACTGTGGCTCAAATAGTAGACACTAGCCTTGAGTAAAAGAAGCTCAGGAACAGTGCCCAGGCCCTGAGCTTAAGACCCATAACTAACAACAACAACAAAAGTCTTGACCTGGGACTATCAACCTCTCCTCACCTGACTTGGCTTCTGTCGCCGTGGGTTCACTGCTTAGGGCTCTAGTTGTTTCATCAGCTGATGGTTTTGTGGTGCCTGCTAGAGTAAACAGCATTTATTAGAAGCTTTCATACAATACAGCAGGTACTATTGCCCTGATTCAAGATATCTACTACAGATTCATTTATACTTTGCCATTTCCAACTCACTCTTTCTAAAAATGGATCCTAAAATTTTATTTGATACAAATGCCAGATCATACCTAGTTAAATGCATCCCTAGTTAAATGTAAATGAACGTCTTCACATTTATTTGTGTAATATTAAGATATTGGAATGCAGTTCTTCATAATCCAAAGATACTTATCTGAAACAACTTTTTAATGGAATATTTCTTCTGCCTGAGCATTTCTGCCAGAGGTCCTGATTCAGGGAGTCTGTGAAGGACTCCTCCATATGTATTTTAATTTCATTGTAATTTTCAGCCATTGTTTGAATCCTGTGTCCTGGAATCATCATGTCCCATGAGCACAAAGCTGTAGAAATATCATCTAACCCTGGCTCCTGTATTCCCTATAGTACTGTTAGAAAGAATCTGGTCCCTTCTTAACTCCAGTCTCATTCCTATTTCTTTCCATGGACATAAACCGAAAATGGAGTTCACACCTGCCCTTAAGCCCCTGCCTATGCAGTATCTCTTCCTTTTCCTTACCTGATTGGTTACCAGTAGTAATTGTATCTGGTCTGGCTGAGGATCTGGGGCCAGCAGTAGTGGAGGCTGCAGACAGCACTGTACTCCCTGGAACCAATAACAGCATGACAGGTGAGGGCAGTGCATACCTTACTTTTACCAGTACTATGAGGTCTCACTAGTGTGAGCAAAACAGCCAGTAAGTGACACAGTTTTCTTCAATTCCTCTCAACCCCAAAATCCTAATCCCTGTTGAAGCCTGATTTCACAGACTAGCTCTTGCTGCTAGAAGGGCAAGGCAGGAGGAGGGGATGGGTGCGGGGGTGGGGGAGATAATGAGTATCTGGTCCAGCCTCAACCTAACCAGAAGCTGTGACTCCAGTCCCTGAAGATCTGGGGGTTCTGCCATCTCTATGGAATGTTCCAGGGGAGGTCCCAGGTGTGTCTGATGCACACCACAGAAAGAAACCATTAGCAGAGTTTCATAGACAGTTTTCTACCGAGAAATACAGGAATGGCATTTTCAACTTAACCTGATTCTTCAGAAGAGGGACAATAATGTGAGATTCAGCTCATACAAGGTTTGATCACCTTATGAACAGGCCCTGTAATAGGCTTGCTTTTTCCTTGAACAAAGTGAATGGGACTCTCCCCTGTGGGGGGGAGGGGTGGGGGTTGCGGGAAACCAACGAAGTTTTTCCCAATGACTTTGCTCTACCATAGGCAGGTTTCTGATGAGAATCTCTCCCTTTGCATAAGAGGACTGATCTTGGACCCCCCAGTCTCCCCCTCACCTGACTTGTGCTGAGTTGGTGTTGGTTCACGACTTTGAGTCCTTGTTGTCTCACTAAATGATGGTTCCAGGGTCTCTGTCAAAACAAAACCTTTTCAGAATTTTTCAAAAAAAGAACAAGGGGATGCTGCCATTTCCAGATATGTGCCACATCTCCAATATACTATCAGCTATTGCTGGGCATCTTTGCAAAAATTAATTGTAAGACCATACATGATCCTTAGATGGCCAATGTACCTATTTTCCTCTTGGATATAGAGACCCTTGCTCATACTTGCTTGCTATAAAGATACTGGAAGGAAAGTGCTACATTATTCAGGAGGACCCTTGGAAGCAAGTGTACAGATATTATGAAGTATTCATAATGCCTGGATCCTCAGATTAATGAGTCTGGGAAAGGCTCAGCATATGTATTCCAACATGGTTCTATTCCATTTTAATGTATTTAAAAAAAATACTTTTATCATCTTTCAGTAGTTGTACCAAGGAGGTGCCAGTCAACAAAGTAGTCTGTGAACGCAGCGCGTCTTGATCAACGGCACCCCTTCAACATTCTCACCCACACCTCCCACCCACCCTTCCCTTACTTAATTTTAGGTTATGTGTTGAATTTTGTTGCCATTTAACAAAGGAGTAGATGTGTACAATGTACCTTGATCTGTGTCATCCCTTCAACATCTTCACCGCCCCCCTTTGGCCCACCCCTTCACTTGTGTTTCTCCCAGTTGTATAAATTGAAATCTTGACGATAGATTCAGCCTATCATTCATTCTAGGTTTAGAGTCCTGCAGTCATCATAAGATTCTAGAAACATCATCAAGTCCAGACCTCCTGTGCTCCATACTATCTGTTGGTAAGACCTAGAGGTCTCTAAGTACAGTGTCTTCTGCTTTTGTTTCAGCTGTACACATGCTCCATACACAGAGAATGAACAGCACTGGCTTAGACTCTGCACGCACAAGCACTCTCTTGCTTCCTTACCAGATCTACCACTTGCAGAAGTGGTAGCTGACTTGTCTGAGGATCCAGGGCTTGAAGTCGTGGAGGCTGCAGACACTACTGTGTTCCCTGGAACCAAGAACAGAATGAGGGATGGGGCCATTCACATGCTAATCAATGTTATTCTAACAATGCCATGAGTAGTTGACAGTGTAGGAAAAAAAGTGAAAGACTTCAACCTCCCCCCCGCCCCCGGCCCCCTCCAACCCTGTATTCTATCTAAATCCTGTTGAAGCCATGTATCACAGATCTGCTCCTAGTGCAAGAGGGTAACATGGGAGATTTTGAGCTTCACAGCCAGGCTAGGGATCACACAGGAGACTGTGACTCCAATGCCTAGAACTTCAAGTGCACTGCATACTGCATGAACTGACCCACATGGCCCCATGTGTGTCTGATTACGCCATGGAAAAGAGAAATTTACTACGGAGGTCCTATTGGATCTCCTGCTCACTAAGAAAGGTCTGTTGCTGGGTTTTTTGTTGGTTTTCTTTTCCTTTTATCTTGTTCATTTATCTGTCTTTGGGAGGGGAAAGGGGTACAGAAATGGAGAGATGTAGGGTGAACAAATACATTATGGGTACTCACTGGACACTATGTGGAAAATGAGCTGTGTGGAAACATAGTGGAACATATGTAGAAACACTATGTGGAAAATGGGGACGGGAGGGAAAAACTGGGAGAGAATGAGAGAAAGATGGCATCGTCTAAGAAAGAAATGTATTCTTTACCTGACTGTATAACTGTAACCCCTGTGTACATAACCTTTATAATTGTAATGGACATGAAAAGGTTACGTGAAAAGATCAGGCAATTCAAACGCCTAAAATATAAACTAAGTCATAAGATGTGGTAAATAAATCTGAAATTTGGAAATGTAGCTGACAAAATAAAGAATATATACTCTGTTAAAAAGAAAAGAACGACAGCTCTCAGCACAAGCTAGTTGTTCAGAAGGAGACACTAAAATTCATGGATAAGACTTGAAACAGGCTGGCTATTTCCTTTGACAAAGTGAATGTGTCTATCTCAGATTCTCACTTGAGTTGTTGTTACAGGTAAACCCAGTAAATCATGTAATGCTGATCTTGTGCTCATTGCCCTGAGATTTTTTTTAAAATAGAGTGTAATTTCCACATAGGAACATTAATTTGTTGCCCTTCCCCCACCAGTGGTTTGGTCTATTCTTTCCTAAATTTCTTTTTGATCCAGTTCATTCATCTTCCCAGTCAATTCCTATCTCCTTCTACCGCTTCTAAACTTGAATGTATTATCAATTCCTCCGCCATCATGAAGCACAGCAAGAACTGTGTGATTCCCAAGCTTTCCCTGCATTCTACAATACTACTAAGGAAGTATAATGTTCACAGAGAGAGTTACTGTTTCTCTGGTCTCCTGGAGAATGGTCATCACCAGCATAACAATGGCTGGATTCCATAGGGATCCTGACTCTGACTGCATTTACAGCACAAGTGCACGAGTGTCTACTGCCTGCTCCCACACCGTCTCTATTTCTTCCCTACCTGTGTTCCCAAGTGCGCTTTCATTAGTACCTGTGGTAGCAGCTGTATCTGTTCTTCCACTGGTTCCAGTGGGAAGAAGAATGATGTTTTAAAATTGTTTAGCTATTTTTTTGTATTATTTGTCTTTTCTGAAATCCATCTATTTGGCTCAAACTGGCCTTGAAATTGTGACCTTCCTTCTTCAGCCTCCCTAATTCTAGAATTACAGTTTCACTACCACCATACCTGGCAAGAATGTGGTTTAAAGGATACTGAGAGCAGGGTAAAACAGATTCTCTCTTGGGCTTTCGGAAATGTGTTCATGTCATGATTTCCTACAATGTTTTCTCAAGTGCTCTAACCTTGCTCGCATTATTTCACTTTGGAGTCAACAATGCTTATACTGGGCCTAACACAGTGCCCCACAAAGGGCTTTGTCTTGCCTGCTGGATGTGGAGAACGGGTAGTCTCAGTGCTTGATGATCCAGCTGTGGTCTGCATGCCTGGTGGTCCAGCAGTGGTCTGCGAGCCTGGTGGTCCAGCTGTGCTCTGTGTGCCTGATGGTCCAGCTGTGGTCACCCCAGTTGTGGTCTTAGTGATTGGTGGTCCAGCTGTGGTCTCTGTGCTTGCTGGTCCAGCTGTGGTCTCTGTGCTTGGTGGTCCAGCTGTGGTCTCTGTGCTTGGTGGTCCAGCTGTGGTCTCCCTGCCTGGTGTTCCAGCTGTGGTCTCTGTTCTTGATGGTCTAGCTGTGGTCTTCCTGCTTGGTGTTCCAGCTGTGGTCTCAGTGCTTGGTGGTCCAGATGTGGTCTCCCTGCCTGGTGGTCCAGCTGTGCTCTGTGTGCCTCGTGGTCCAGCTGTGGTCTCTGAGCCTGGAGGTCTAACTGTGATCTCCCTGTCTGATGCTGAAGTCGGTCCCACAGACTGGCCGGTTGTTCCTGATAAACACAAAAGCAATGATTGCTATGCCCACTCATGCTCTTGAAGCTAGAGAATAAGCCATTAGCTTGCACCTTAGATATTTCTGAATAGTGCTTCATTTTCCACAGCTGACCCACTCTGATAGTTTCACTTATGTGTAGGTGCTATAGTGCCTGCCTTGATTTACCTGAGTTTCCTTGGGTCACAGTTCCAGGGCTTGATTCTCTGAGGGTGCTGGCTTCTTTGCCAATAGGTGTGGGTGAGTTAGGCATTTCTGTTCTTGCTGATTTGAAAAAGCAATGAGTCATATGTGAACATGTGCCCCCCTGTTATCAACATGCTGAACCTCACATAAACCCTCTGATGCTGGCAACAAATATTTCTCCATGTTATATCAGATTCCTCCCAGGCCACTGCATTGGTTGACAGCAGACCCCAAAACCCAATGTAGGTTCCCGGATCAAACTCTGACTGGGTCTTCTCAACAATGTGTGACAAAAGTATTGATGGAATTTCCAGTATGGCCTCAAAGGATGCTTTATATTCTGGTGCATCATTTAACATAAATATGAAATCTAATATAACAAAAGCTACTATTTTACAAACATAAGAGGGATGGTCTCAAACCATTTCCATGCATATGTCTAATATTCTGATCTAACATGATTTCCTTAAAATTTGATCTCCTTCTGGCTCTTGGGCAGGGGTGAGATGGTTTTCTTACAAAGCATTCTTCCCACTTGAGACTGATTCCCAGTACAACTTCACACAGTGTTCCCAGCTACTTGGCTTAAACAAGGGCAGGTCCTAATGAACATCGTTGTCTGTTGACTTAGCAGTGCCTGGAACAAACCCTGCTCTCCTCACCTGATGTGGCCTCAGCTGTTGAGGGTTCACTGCTTGGGGCTCTAGTAGTTTCACCAGCTGGTCCTGTGGTGCCTGCCACAGGAAACAGTAAGCATTTAACAGCTGTCCTACAGAACAACAGGTCACATTGCCTGTTTCTAAATAGCTGTCACACATTCAGGTACACTTTGCCATTTCTGACTCACTTTTTCTAAAACGGGATCCTAAAATTGTATATGATTCTAAAGATGTCAGTGGGTACACATTAACTTGTCTAAGGCAAATAAAGTTCATCTTTACTTGCATTAATAATAAGACACTGTAATCCTGTGAATCAGAAACAATCTTGCTTCCAGAAGCAACAACAGATATTCAGGAAATAATTATTATAGCTAGGGCCCTTCTACCCCTGATGTAGATTCAGTGAATCTCAGAAGGACCCCTACAAATTTGATGTTAATTTGCAGCCATTGTTTGAATCCTGAACAGCCTTCCTGAATCCTGGAATCATCATGTCTCATGAGCACACTGAGGGATGCCAATGCTGGAACAAGGCTGTGGAAACATCATGTGATCCTGGCCCCCTATTCTCCCTGTAACACTGTTACTACAGAACCTGGTTCCTTCTTAACTCCAGTCTCTTCCTATTTCTTTCCATTGGCACCATGCTCCATGAACTGAGAATGAAAGAGTTCACCATCCATGCTCTTAAAAACCTGCACATGCAATGGCTCTCCCTTTTCCTTACCTGATCTGTGGCTAGCAGAAGTGGTAGCTGGTCTGGCTGAGGATCCTGGGCCTGCCGTGGTGGAGGCTGCAGACAGCACCGTGCTCCCTAAAACCAACCACAGAATGAGAGGTGACAACAATGAACATGCTTCTCCTACCAAAGTGAGAAAATACAGTGGGTGACAATTCCACTCCAATTCTTCTCAGGGTTATAAACCCTGTGGGAGACTGAGTCCACAGACCAGCTCCTGCTATGAGAAGACATCAGGGAGAGAGGCTTGTACTCCAACCACACTGGGAGAGCAGGATAGGCCTATGATTCTGGTGCCTTCATATCAAGTGCACTACCATCTGAATGAGTTGATCAGATGGTACACAAAAGTGTCTGATGTACACCATGGAAAGATAACTTCAGAGGCTGCCTGCATCTCCTGTTCCCTGAGATACAGAAGGGGAGTATGCTTTTCATGCAAGCTACGAATACAGTTTGGCTTCCTTTTGGTTAAGACTTGAATTAGGCTTGCTTTTTCCTTTGATTATAGAAATATATTTACCACATAATTTTCACTGAATTGTCAAATAGATACATGCAGTGGGTCATGCAACATTGAGTTTGTTCTTATTGCCCTAAGGTAGTTTACTTAAATGTAATGATCACGTAGGTACTTTGATTTGTTAGCTCCCAAAGGTTGGGTCTAGTCTTGTTTTGTTCTGATATAGTTTATTCTTTTTCCCAGTGGAGTCCTCTCACTTACTTTTTTTTGTCTTCTAAGTCTATATGATTATCGATTCCTCTGTCTCTATCAGGAACTAGAATAAGAACACAGCTGCTCTAGAGGACAAGGATTATGTCTTATTTAGGAATGGTGACATTCTTAGGAAGTATGTAGAGTGAATACATCACTAAAATGACAGCATGTGAAGCGGCCCATTCCATGGAAATCCCAAGATCTTTAATCATGTACATACTTTTTATATCTCCCTTTTATACTAAGCTGATGGTAACTAAACTAATGACATCCATTTTCTCTAAAGTTTAATTTCACTGTTGTGGTATAAACATTTCCAAATAAAACATGTAAATGAAAAAAAGAATGCATGTGTTTCCCAAACTTTTCCTGTATCCTAAAATATTTCCCTGAAAATCATATAGTTATTGTCTCTAATCTTCTAGTCATGGGCCATCACCAAAGAAGCATGTTTATAAGGTTTACGACTCAGGAGGCTGAGATCTGAGGATCAATGTTCAAAGCCAGACTGGGCAGTAAAGTCTTTGGGACTCTTAACTCCAAAGTAGAGTGATAGATCAAGTGCTAGCCTTGAGCACAATAGCTCAAAGGACACTGCCTAGGCCTTGAGTGAAAGCCCCAGGACAGGCACCATAAAAATATCAGCACAATGGTTGGGTTCACCAGGGATCCTGTCTCTGACTGCATGTAGAGCACAAGTGCATGTGTGTCTACCACTGCTTCCCTCTCTGCTTCTGTTTCTTCCCTATCTGTGTTTCCAGATGTGCTTTCACTACTGCTTGTGGTAGCAACTCTACCGGCTCCTCTACTGGTTCCTGTGGGAAGAAAAATGATGATATAAAAATGTGTAGTTATTTTTTGTGCTCTTGGACTTTTTTGAAACGCTTCTATATGCTTAAGCTGGCCTTAAATTGTGACCTTGCTTCTTCAGCCTCCCTAATTTTAGAATTACATATTTACCACCACCATACCTGGCAAAAATGTAGTTTAAAACATACTGAGAGCTGGGTAAAATGGATTCTGTCATAGGCTTTCTAAAAGGTGTTTTTGTCATGATTTCCTACAATGTTTTCTCAAGTGCTCTAACCTTGCTCTCAGGATCTCACTTTGGAGTCAACAATGCTTATACTGGACTCCACAGTGCCCCACAGAGGGCTGTGTCTTGCTTGCTGGGTGGGTAGAAAGTGTGGTCTCAGTGCTTTCCGGTTCAACTGTGGTCTCTTTACCTGGTGGTCCAGCTGTGGTCTGGGTGCTTGATGGTCCAGCTGTGGTCTCCTTGCTTGGTGTTCTAACTATGCTCTGTGTGCCTCGTGATCCAGCTGTGGTCTCTGAGCCTGGAGGTCTAGCTGTGATCTCCCTGCCTGATGCTGAAGTCGGTCCCACAGACTTGCCTGTTGTTCCTAAAAATACAGCAACAATGACTGCGATGCCAACTCATGCTCTTGAAGATGGAGACTATGTCATTAGGTTGCGCCTCATTTTCCACAGTTGACCCACTCTGATATTTTCACTTGTGTGTAGGTGCTAAAGTGCCTGCCTGGATTTACCTGAGTTTTCTTGGGTCACAGTTCCAGGGCTTGATTCTCTGAGGGTGCTGGCTTCTTTGCCAATAGGTGTGGGTGAGGTAGGCACTTCTGTTCTTGCTGATTTGAAAAAGCAAAGAGTGACATGTGCCATGTGCCCTCTGTTTTCAGCATGCTGAACCGCACATAAACCCTCTGATGCTGGCAACACCTGTCTCCCCATGTTGTATCAGATTCTTCGCATTAATATCTCCAGGACACTCCACTGGTTTACAGCAAACCACCAAACCCAATACAAGTCCACGAATCAAACTCTGACTGGGTCTTCTCAACAATGTGTGTCAAAAGTATTGATTGATTTCCAATATGACCTCAATGAATATTTTATATCCAGGTCTATCATTTAATATAAATATGAAATCTAATATAACAAAAGCTAGTATTTAAAAACGTAAGTGGGAAGGTCTCAAATTGTTTCCATGCATATGCCTAATATTCTGATCAAATATTATTTCTTTATTTGATCTCCTTGTGGCTCTTGGGCAGGGGTGAGATGGTTTTCTTACAAAGCATTCTTCCCACTTGAGACTGATTCCCAGTACAACTTCACACAGTGTTCCCAGCTACTTGGCTTAAACATGGGCAGGTCCTGATGAACAATGTTGTCTTTTGACAAAAAGCAGTGCCTGGAACAAACCCTGCTCCCCTCACCTGATGTGGCCTCAGCTGTTGAGGGTTCACTGCTTGGGGCTCTAGTAGATTCACCAGCTGCTGGTCCTGTGGTGCCTGCCACAGGAAACAGTAAGCATTTAACAGCTGTCCTACAGAACCACAGGTCACATTGCCTGTTTCTAAATAGGTGTCACATATTCAGGTACACTTTGCCATTTCTGACTCACTCTCTCTAAAAAGGGATCCTAAAATTGTATATGATTCTAAAGACATCAGTGGGTACACGTTAACTTGTCTAAGGCAAATAAAGTTCATCTTTACTTGCATTAATAAGAAGATACTGGAATCCTGTGAATCAGAAACAATCTTGTTTCTAGAATCAACTACAGACCTTCAGGATATACATATTATAACTAGGGCCCTTCTACCCCTAATGTAGATTCAGTGAATCTCAGAAGGACACCTACAAATTTGATGTTAATTTGCAGCCATTGTTTGAATCCTGAACAGCCTTCCTGAATCCTGGAATCATCATGTCTCATGAGCACACTGAGGGAACCAATGCTGGAACAAGGCTGTGGAAACATCATGTGATCCTGGCCCCCTGTTCTCCCTGTAACACTGTTGCTACAGAACCTGGTCCCTTCTTAACTCCAGTCTCTTCCTATTTCTTTCCATTGGCACCATGCTCCATAAACTGAGAATGAAAGAGTTCACCATCCATGCACTTAAAAACCTGCACATGCAATGGCTCTCCCTTTTCCTTACCTGATCTGTGGCTAGCAGAAGTGGTAGCTGGTCTGGCTGAGGATCCTGGGCCTGCAGTGGTGGAGGCTGCAGACAGCACGGTGCTCCCTAAAACCAACCACAGAATGAGAGGTGACAATAATGAACATGCTTCTCCTACCAAAATGAAAAAAAGACAATGAATGACAATTCCACTCCAATTCTCCTCAGCATTATAAACTTTGTGGGAGTCTGACTGCACAGACCAGCTCCTGCTATGAGAAGAAATCAGGGAGAGAGGCTTGCACTCCATCCACACTGAGAGAGCAGGAAGGCCCCATGGATCTGTTCCTTGCATATCCAGTGCACTACCACCTGCCTGAGTTGATCAGGTGACACACAAAGTGTCTGTTGTATATCATGGAAAGAGAGGGGTGTCTGATGTACACCATGGAAAGAGACAGTTTCAGAGTCTGCCTGGTTCTCCTGTTCCCTGAGAAACAGAAGGGGAGCATGCTTTTCATTGCAAGCTACAAAGAAAGTTTGGCTTCCTTATTTTTAAGACCTGAATTAGGCTTGCTTTTTTCCTGTGACTTTTGAAATGTATTTACTACCTAGTTTTCACTGGAGTTTCAAGTAGATACATCCAATGGGTCATGCAACACTGAGTTTGTGCTCATTGCCATAAGGTATGTAGTTTAATGTAATTATCACATAGGTCCCTTGATTTGTTAGCTCCCAATTGTTGGGTCTAGTCTTGTTTTGTCCTGATACAGTTTATTTTTTCCCTGTAGAGTCCTCTCACTTATGTGTTTGTCTTCTAAGTCTATATGGTCATTGATTCCTCTGTCTCTATGTGGAAATAGAATAAGAACCTACATGCTCTAGAGGACCAGGATTATGTCTTATTTATAGATGGTGACATCCTTGGGAAGTATGCAGAGTGAATACATCATTAAAATGACAGCATGTGAAGCAGCCCATTCCATGGAAGTTCTAAGATCTTTAATCATGTAAATATTTTTATATCTCCCTTTTATAATAAGCTGATGGTAATTAAACTAATGTCTAAACTCTAAAGTTTAATTTCACTGTTGTGGTATAAACATTTCCAAATAAAACATGTAAATAAAAAAAAGAATGCATAGGCTTCCAAACTCTCCATGTATCCTAAAATATTTCCCTGAGAGTCACAGAGATATTTTCACTAATCTTCTAGTCATGGGCCATCACCAAAGTAGCAATGGTTGGGAGGGCAGTCATGGCTCACACCTATAAGGTTTACTTCTCAGGAGGCTGAATTCTGAGGATTAGTGCTCAAAGACAGACTAGGCAGTAAAGACTGTGAGACCCTTAGCTCCAATTAACTACCAAAAGGGCCCAAAGTGGAGCAATGGATCAAGTGGTAGCCTTGAGCACAAATGCTCAAGGGACAGTGCCCAGGCCTTGAGTGAAAGCCCCAGGACAGGCACTATAAAAATATCAGCACAATGGTTGGGTTCACCAGGGATCCTGTCTCTGACTGCATGTAGAGCACAAGTGCATGTGTGTCTACCACTGCTTCCCTCTCTGCTTCTGTTTCTTCCCTATCTGTGTTTCCAGTGTGCTTTCACCACTGCTTGGGGTAGCATCTCTACCCGCTCTTCCACTGGTTCCTGTGGGAATAAAAATGATGTTTTAAAAATGTGTAGTTATTTTTTGTAGTTTTTGACTTTTTTTGGGAAATCCTTCTATATGTTTAAACTGACCTTGAACTTGTGACCTTGCTTCTTCAGCATCCCTAATTTTGGAATTACAGTTTTACCACCACCATACCTGGCAAGAATGTGTTTTAAAAGATACTGAGAGCTGGGTAAAATGGATTCTGTCATGGGCTTTCCTTAAATGTGTTCTTGTCGTGATTTCCTACAATGTTTTCTCAAGTGCTCTACCTTGCTCTCAGGAGTCAACAATGCTTATACTGGACCCACAGTACCCCACAAAGGGCTTTGCCTTGCTTGCTGTGTGTATAGAACGGGTGGTCTCTGTGCTTGATGGTTCAGCTGTGGTCTCCCTACCTGGTGGTCCAGCTGTGCTCTGTGTGCCTGGTGGTCCTGCTGTGGTCACCCCAGCTCTGGTCTCAGCGCCCGGTGGTCTAGCTGTGGTCCCCTTGCTTGGTATTCCAGCTGTGGTCTCCATGCCTGGTGGTCCAACTGTGCTCTGAGTGCCTGCTGATCCAGCTGTGGTTTCTGTACTTGGTGGTCCAGCTGTGATCTCCCTCTCTGATTCTGAAGTTGGTCTCATAGACTGGCCTGTTGTTCCTGATAAACACAGACGCAGTGATTGCCATAGCCACTCATGCTTCTGAAGCTGGAGACTAGGACATTAGCTTGCGCCTTAGATATTTCTGAACAGTGCTTCATATTCCACAGCTGACCCACTCTGATATTTTGACTTGTGTGTTAGTATTAAAGAGCCTGCCTTGATTTACCTGAGTTTCCTTGGGTCACAGTTCCAGGGCTTGATTCTCTGAGGGTGCTGGCTTCTTTGCCAATAGGTGTGGGTGAGGTAGGCACTTCTGTTCTTGCTGATTTGAAAAAGCCAAGAGTGACATGTGAACATGTGCCCCCTATTGTCTGCACATTGAAACTCATATAAACCCTCTGATGCTGGCAACACCTGTCTCCCCAGGTTATATCAGATTCCTCCTATTATCTATCCAGGTCATTTCATTGGTTGACAGGAGACTTCCACACCCAATGTTGGCCCACAAATTAAGCTCTGACGAGGGCTTCTCAACAATGTGTGACAAAAGAATTGATGGAATTTCCAATTCACCCTCAATGAATACTTTAAAAAGTTTATATAAGTATACCCAGGTCCGTCATGTAATATAAATATGAAATCTAATATAACAAAAGCTAGTATTTTACAAACATAACAGGGATGGTCTCACACTGTTTCCATGCATCTGCCTAACATTCTGATCTAACATGATTTCCTTATTTGATCTCCTTGTGGCTCTTGGGCAGGGGTGAGATGGTTTTTTTACAAAGCATTCTTCCCACTTGAGACTGATTCCCAGTACAACTTCACACAGTGTTCCCAGCTACTGGGCTTAAACATGGGCAGGTCCTGATGAACATCATTGTCTTTTGACAAAAAAAGCAGTGCCTGGAACAAACCCTGCTCTCCTCACCTGATGTGGCCTCAGCTGTTGAGGGTTCACTGCTTGGGGCTCTAGTAGTTTCACCAGCTGCTGGTCCTGTGGTACCTGCCACAGGAAACAGTAAGCATTTAACAGCTGTCCTACAGAACAACAGGTCACATTGCCTGTTTCTAAATAGCTGTCACATATTTAGGTACACTTTGCCATTTCTGACTCCTTCTTTCTTAAAATGGATTCTAAAATTGTTTATGATTTTAAAGGTGTCTGCAGGTACACGTTAACTTGTCTAAGGCAAATAAACTTCATCTTTACTTGCTTTAAAATTAAGACACTAGAATCCTGAGAATCAGAAACAATCTTGCTTCCAGAAGCAACTACAGACCTTCAGGTAATACTTATTATAGCTAGGGCCCTTCTATCCCTGATGTAGATTCAGTGAATCTCAGAAGGACACCTACAAATTTGATGTTAATTTGCAGACATTGTTTGAATCCTGAACAGCCTTCCTGAATCCTGGAATCATCATGTCTCATGAGCACACTGAGGGAAGCCAATGCTGGAACAAGGCTGTAGAAACATCATCTGATCCTGACCCCCTGTTCTCCCTGTAACATTGTTACTACAGAACCTGGTCCCTTCTTAACTCCAGTCTCTTCCTATTTCTTTCCATTGGCACCATGCTCCATAAACTGAGAATGAAAGAGTTCACCATCCATGCACTTAAAAACCTGCACATGCAATGGCTCTCCCTTTTCCTTACCTGATCTGTGGCTAGCAGAAGTGGTAGCTGGTCTGGCTGAGGATCCTGGGCCTGCAGTCGTGGTGGTTGCAGACAGCACTGTGCTCCCTAAAACCAACCACAGAATGAGAGGTGACAATAATAAACATGCTTCTACCAAAGTGAGAAAAAGACAGTGAGTGATGCTGGACACTGGCAGCTCATGCCTGTAATGCTAGTTACTCAGGAGGCTGAGATCTGAGGATTGCCGTTAAAAAATAGTCTGGGCAGGATAGTCCATGAGACTCTTATCAACAATAAACCAGTAGAAAACCGGAGGTGGCGCTATGGCTCAAGCAGTAGAGTACTCACCTTGAGCTGAAGAGCACAGGGACAGCGCCCAAGCCCAGAGGTCAAGCCTCACGACCAACAACAACAACAAAAAAAGACAATGAGTGACAATTCCACTCTAATTATCCTCAGGGTTATAAACCCTGTGGGAGCCTGATTCCACAAACCAAGTCATGCTATTAGAAGACATCAGGGAGAGAGGCTTATACTCTATCCACACTGGGACAGGAGGAAGGGCCTATGGTTCTGGTGACTGCATATCAAGTGCACTATCACCTAATGAGTTGATCCGGTGGTACACAAAGGAGTCTGATGTACACCATCGAAGGAAAGAATTTCAGAATCTGCATGGATCTCCTGTTCCTTGAGATACGCAATGGGAGCATGCTTTTCATTGCAAGCTACAAAGAGAGTTTGGCTTCCTTATGGTTAAGCCCTGAATTAGGTTTGCTTTTTCCTTTGCCTTTGGAAATGTATTTACTACCTAATTTTCACTGGAGTTTCAAGTAGATACATCCAGTGAGTCATGCAACACTGAGTTTGTGCTCACTGCCCTAAGGTATTGTACTTAAATGTAATCATCACGTAGGTACCTTGATTTGTTAGCTCCGAATGTTTGGATCTAATCTTAAGTTTTGTTCTGATACAGCTCATACTTTTTTCCCAGTGGAGTCTTCTTACTTATCTTTTGTCTTCTAAATCTGCCTGATAATTGATTCTTCTGTCTCTGTCAGGGACCAGAATAAGAAGACAAGTGCTTCCCAAACTTTTCTTGTATCCTACAGTATTTCTCTGAGTGTCATAGAGTTATTTTCTCCAATTTTCTAATCACAGGCCATCACCAAAGTAACAATGGTTGGGAAGGGCAACCATGGTTCCTGCCTATAATCTTTAGTACTCAGGAGGCTGAGATCTGAAGATCAGTGTTCAAAGCCAGACAAGGCAGTAAAGTCTGTGAGACCCTTCGCTCTAAGAAGAGCTCAGGGGACAGTGCCCAGGTCTTGAGTAAAAGCTCCATGACAGGCATCATAAAAATATTATAACAATGGTTGGGTTCACCAGGGATCCTGTCTCTGACTGCATGTAGAGCACAAGTGCATGTGTGTCGAAGATATGTTTCCTCTGTGCTTTTTTCCCCATATCTGTGTTTCCAGGGTGCTTTCACTACTGGTTGTGCTAGCAAATCTACCCACTCCTCCACTGGTTCCTGTGGGGAAAAATGATGTGTTAAAATGTGTAGTTAATTTTTGTACTCTTGGTCTTTTTTTGAAACCCTTCTATATGCTTAAGCTGGCCTTGAACTTGTGACCGTGCTTCTTCAGCCTCCCTAATTCTGCAATTACAGTTTTACCACTACCATACCTGGCAAGACTGTGGTTTAAAACATACTGAGAGCTGGTTAAAATGGATTCTGTCATGGGTTTCCCTTAAATGTGTTCTTGTCATGATTTTCTGCTATGTTTTCTCAAGTGCTCTAACCTTCCTCTCAGGATCTGACTTTGGAGACAACAATGATTGTACTGGACCGCACAGTGCCCAATAGAGGTCTTTGTCTGGCTTGCTGGGTGTGTACAACAGGTGGGCTCAGTGGTTGATGGTCCAGCTGTGGTCTCCCTACCTGGTGGTCCAGCTGTGCTCTGTGTGCCTGCTGGTCCAGCTGTGGTCTCTGTGTTTGCTGGTCTAGTTGCGGTCTCCCTGCCTGGTGGTCCAGTTGTGCTCTGTGAGCCTCGTGGTACAGCTGTGGTCTCTGAGCCTGGAGGTCCAGCTGTGATCTCCCTGCCTGATGCTGAAGTCGGTCCCACAGACTGGCCTGTTGTTCCTGATAAACACAGAAGCAATGATTGCTATGCCCACTCATGCTCCTGAAGCTGGAGACTAGGACATTAGCTTGCGTCTTAGATACTTCTGAACAGTGCTTCATTTTCCACAGCTGACCCACTCTGATATTTTCACTTGTGGGTAGGTGCTATAGTGCCTGCCTTGATTTACCTGAGTTTCCTTGGGTCACAGTTCCAGGGCTTGATTCTCTGAGGGTGCTGGATTCTTTGCCAATAGGTGTGGGTGAGGTAGGAATTTCTGTTCTTGCTGATTTGAAAAAGCCAACAGTGACATGTGACCATGTGCCCCCTGTTATCAGCATGCTGAACCTCACATAAACCCTCTGATGCTGGCAACACCTTTTTCTCCATGTAATATCAGATTCTTCCCATTTATCCCTCCAGGCCACTCCATTGGTTGACAGCAGACCCCCAAACCCAATGTTGGTCCCTGAATCAAAATCTGACTGGGTCTTCCGAGAAAGTGTGACAAAAGAATTGATGGAATTGCCAGTATGTCCTCAATGGATGTTTTATATACAGGTCCACAATTTGACATAAATATGAAATATAATATAGCAAAAGCTAGTATTTTACAAACATAAGAGGAATGGTCTCAAACTGTTTCCATGGATATGCCTAACATTCTGATCTAACATATTTCCTTAAAATTTGATCTCCTGTGGCTCTTGGGCAGGGGTGAGATGGTTTTCTTACAAAGCATTCTTCCCACATGAGATTGATTCCCAGTACAACTTCACACAGTGTTCCCAGCTACTTGGCTTAAACATGGGCAGGTCCTGATGAACAACGTTGTCTTTTGACTTAGCAGTTCCTGGAACAAACCCTGCTCTCCTCACCTGATGTGGCCTCAGCTGTTGAGGGTTCACTGCTTGGGGCTCCAGTAGATTCACCAGCTGCTGGTCCTGTGGTGCCTGCCACAGGAAACAGGAAGCATTTAACAGCTGTCCTACAGAACAACAGGTCACATTGCCTGTTTCTAAATAGCTGTCACATATTCAGGTACACTTTGCCATTTCTAACTCCCTCTCCATATAAAGGGCTCCTAAAATTGTATATAATTCTAAAGATGTCAGCCGGTACATGTTAAATTTCTAAGGCACATAAACTTCATTGTTACTTGCATTAATAAGAAGATACTGGAATCCAGTGAATTAGAAACAATATGTTTCCAGAATCAACTACAGACCTTCTGAAAATACTCATTATATCTAGGGCCCTTCTACCCCAAATGTAATTTCAGCGAATCTCAGAAGGATCCTACAAATTTGATGTTAATTTGCAGTCATTGTATGAATCCTGAACAGCCTTCCTGAATCCTGGAATCATCATGTCTGATGAGCACAAGAAGGGATGGGAATTCTGGAACAAGGCTGTAGAAACATCATGTGATCCTGGCCCCCTGTTCTCCCTGTAGCACTGTTGCTACAGAACCTGGTCCCTTCTTAACTCCAGTCTCTTCCTATTTCTTTCCATTGGCACCATGCTACATAAACTGAGAATGAAAGAGTTCACCATCCATGCACTTAAAAACCTGCACATGCAATGGCTTTCCCTTTTCCTTACCTGATCTGTGGCTAGCAGAAGTGGTAGCTGGTCTGGCTGAGGATCCTGGGCCTGACGTGGTGGAGGCTGCAGATAGCACCGTGCTCCCTGAAACCAACCACAGAATGAGAGGTGACAACAATGAACATGCTTCTCCTACCAAAGTGAGAAAAAGACAGTGAGTGACAATTCCACTCTAATTCTCCTCAGGGTTATAAACCCTGTGGGAGCCTGACTGCACAGACCAGTTCCTGCTATGAGAAGAAATCAGGGAGAGAAGCTTGTACTCCATCCACACTGGGAGAGCAGGAAGGGCGTATGATTCCCGTTCCTGCATATCAAGTGCACTACCACCTCTCTGAGTTAATCAGGTGGGTGTCTGTTGTACTCCATCGAAAGAGATGGGTGTGGGGCTAGGAAGTGGCTCAGTGGTAGAGCGCTTGCCTTGCATGCCTGAGGCCCTGTGTTCAATTCCTCAGAACTACATAAGCAAAAAGAAAAAAGCCAAAAGTGGCGCTGTGGCTCAAGTGGTAGAGCACTAGCTGTGAGCTGAAGAGCTGAGGGACAGCGCCCAGTCCCAGAGTTCAGGCCCCACGACCAGACCCCCCCCAAAAAAAAAGAGAGAGAGAGGGGTATTTGATGTACACCATGGAAAGAGATAATTTTAGTCTTCTTGGCTCTCATGTTCCCTGAGAAACATAAGAGGAGCATGTTTTTCATTTCAAGCTACAAAGAGAATTTGGCTTCCTTATGGTTAAGATCTGAATTAGGCTTGCTTTTTCCTTTGATTATAGAAATATATTTACCACATAGTTTTCACTGAAGTTTCAAGTAGATACATCCAGTTATGTAACACTGACTTTGTGGTCAATGCCCTAAAGTATTTTACTTAAATGTAATTATCACATAGGTTCCTTGATTTGTTAGCTCCCAATGGTTGGGTCTATTCTTGTTTTGTTCTGATGCATTTTATTCTTTTTCCCAGTGGAGTCTTCTTACTTTTTTTTTGTCTCCTAAGTGTATATGATTATTGATTCCTCTGTCTCTATCAGGAACTAGAATAAGAACACAGCTGCTGTAGAGGACAAGTGTTATGTCTTATTTAGGGATGGTGACATCCTTGGGAAGTATGCAGAGTGAATACTCACTAAAATGACAGTATGTGAAGTGGCCCATTTCATGGAAATGCTTTATATATCTCCCTTTTACAATAAGCTGATGGTAACTAAACTAATGATATCCATTTTCTCTAAAGCTTAATTTCACTGTTGTGGTATAAACATTTCCAAATAACACATGTAAATAAAAAAAAAGAATGCATGTGCTTCCCAAACTCTTACGGTATCCTAAAATCTTTCTCTGAGAATCATAGTGATATTTTCTCTAATCTTCTAATCATGGGCCATCACCAAAGTAGCCATGGTTGGGAAGGGCAGTCATGGCTCACACCTATAAGGTTTACTTCTCAGGAGGTTGAGTTCTGAGAATTAGAGTTCAAAGACAGTCGAGTCTGAAAGGTCTGTGAGACCCTTAGCTCCAATTACCTACCAAAAGGGCCCAAGTAGAGCAATGGATCAAGTGCTAGCCTTTAGCACAAAAAATTCAGGAAACAGTGTCCAAGCCTTGAGTGAAAGCTCCTTACTTAAATATATAAGGACAATGGTTGGGTTCACCAGAGATCCTGTCTCTGACTGCATGTAGGGCACAAGTGCATGTGTGTCTGCCATTGCTTCCCTCTCTGCTTCTGTTTCTTCCCCACCTGTGTTTCCAAATGTGCTTTCACTAGTGCTTGTGGTAGCAACTCTACCCACTCTTCCACTGGTTCCTATAGGAAGAAAAATGATGTTTTAAAAATGTGGAGTTATTTTTTGTACTCTTGGACTCTTAAATCTTTCTACATGCTTAATCTGGCCTTGAACTTGTGACCTTGCTTCTTCAGCCTCCCTAATTCTGGAAATACAGATTTACCACCACCATACCTGGCAAGAATGTGTTTTAAAAGATACTGAGAGCTGAGTAAAATGAATTCTGTCATGGGTTTTCCTTAAATGTGTTCTTGTCATGATTTTCGACAATGTTTTCTCAAGTGCTGTAACATTGTTCTCAGGATCTCACTTTGGAGTCAACAATACTTATAATGGACCCCATAACGCCCCACACAGGTCTTTGTTTTGCTTGCTGTGGGTGTAGAACAGGTGGTCTCAGTGCCTGATGGTTCAGCTGTGGTCTGCCTACCTGTTGGTCCAGCTGTGCTCTGCGTGCCTGCTGGTCTAGCTATGGTCTCCTTGCTTGGTGTTCCAGCTGTGGTATCCGTATCTGGTGGTCTAAGTGTGCTCTGAGTGCCTGGTGATCCAGATGTGGTGACCCCGGTTGTGGTCTTAGTGCCTGGTGGTCCAACTGTGGTCTCTGTGATTGGTGGTCCAGTTGTGGTCTCTGTGTTTGCTGGTGTAGCTGTGGTCTCCCTGCCTGGTGTTCTAGCTGTGGTCTCTGTGCTTGGTGGTCCAGCTGTGGTCTCCCTGCCTGGTGGTCCAGCTGTGCTCTGTGTGCCTGGTGGTCCAGCTGTGGTCTCTGAGCCTGGAGGTCCAGCTGTGATCTCCCTGCCTGATGCTGAAGTCCGTCCCACAGACTGGCCTGTTGTTCCTGATAAACACAGAAGCAATGATTGCTATGCCCACTCATGCTCCTGAAGCTGGAGACTAGGACATTAGCTTGCGCCTTAGATATTTCTGAACAGTGCTTCATTTTCCACAGCTGACCCACTCTGATATTTTCACTTGTGTGTAGGTGCTATAGTGCCTGCCTTGATTTACCTGAGTTTCCTTGGGTCACAGTTCCAGGGCTTGATTCCGAGAGGGTGCTGGCTTCTTTGCCAATAGGTGTGGGTGAGGTAGGCACTTCTGTTCTTGCTGATTTGAAAAAGCCAACAGTGACATGTGACCATGTGCCCGCTGTTATTAGCACGCTGAACCTCACATAAACCCTCTTATGCTGGCATCACCTATTTCCCCATGTCATACCAGATTCCTCCCATTTATCTTGCCAGGCCACTCCATTGATTGACAGCAGACCCCAATCTCAATATTGGTGCCTGAATCAAACTCTGACTGGGTCTTCCCGAGAAAGTGTGACAAAAGAATTGATGGAATTGCCAGTATGTCCTCAATGGATGTTTTATATACAGGTCCACAATTTGACATAAATATGAAATCTAATATAACAAAAGCTAGTATTTAACAAACATAAGAGGGATGATCTCAAACCATTTCCATGCATGTGCCTAACATTCTGATCTAACATGATTTCCTTAAAATTTGATCTCCTTGTGGCTCTTGGCCAGGGGTGATATGGTTTTCTTACAAAGCATTCTTCCCACTTGAGACTGATTCCCAGTACAACTTCACACAGTGTTCCCAGCTACTTGGCTTAAACATGGGCAGGTCCTGATGAACAACGTTGTCTGTTGACAAAAAGCAGTGCCTGGAACAAACCCTGCTCTCCTCACCTGATGTGGCCTCAGCTGTTGAGGGTTCACTGCTTGGGGCTCTAGTAGTTTCACCAGCTGCTGGTCCTGTGGTGCCTGCCACAGGAAACAGTAAGCATTTAACAGCTGTCCTACAGAACAACAGGTCACATTGCCTGTTTCTAAATAGCTGTCACATATTCAGGTACACTTTGCCATTTTTGACTCCTTCTTTTTTAAAATGGATCCTCAAATTGTTTATGATTCTAAAGATGTCTGGAGGTACACGTTAACTTGTCTGAGGCAAATAAACTTCGTCTTTACTTTTTTTAATTTTAAGACACTGGAATCCTGTCAATCAGAAAGAATCTTGCTTCCAGAAGCAACTACAGACCTTCAGGAAATACTTATGATACCTAGGGCCCTTCTACCCCAAATGTAGATTTAGTGAATCTCAGCAGGACCACTACAAATTTGACGTTAATTTGCAGCCATTGTTTGAATCCTGAACACCCTTCCTGAATCCTGGGATCATCATGTCTCATGAGCACACTGAGGGAACCAATGCTGGAACACGGCTGTAGAAACATCATCTGATCTTGACCCCCTGTTCTCCCTGTAACACTGTTGCTACAGAACCTGGTCCCTTCTTAACTCTAGTCTCTTCCTATTTCTTTCCATTGGCACCATGCTCCATAAACTGAGAATGAAAGAGTTCACCATCCATGCACTTAAAAACCTGCACATGCAATGGCTCTCCCTTTTCCTTACCTGATCTGTGGCTAGCAGAAGTGGTAGTTGATCTGGCTGAGGATCCTGGGCCTGCAGTGGTGGAGGCTGCAGACAGCACCGTGCTCCCTAAAACCAACCACAGAATGAGAGGTTACAAAATGAACATGCTTCTTCTACCAAAGAGAAAAGGACAGTGGGTGACAATTCCACTCCAATTCTTCTCAGGGTTATAAACCCTGTAGGGGCCTGACTCCACAGACCAGCTCCTGCTATGAGAAGACATAAGGAGAAAGGCTTGTACTCCATCCACATTGAGGGAACAGGAAGGCCTTATGGTTCTGGTGACTGCATATCAAGTACACTATTGCCTAATGAGTTGATCACGTGGTACGCAAGGCTGTCTGATGTACACCATAGAAAGAGATAATTTCAGAGTCTGCTTGGATCTCCTGTTCTCTCAGATACACAAGGGGAGCATGCTTTTCAGTGCAGGCTACAAAGAGAGTTTGTCTTCCTTATGGTTAACATCTGAATTAGGCTTGCTTTTTTCCTTTGACTTTAGAAATGTATTTACTACTTAATTTTCACTGGAGTTTCAAGTAGATACATCCAGTGGGTCATGCAACATTGAATTTGTGCTCATTGCCATAAGGTATTTTACTTAAATGTAATTATCATGTAGATACATTGATTTGTTAGCTCCCAATGGTTGGGTCTAGTCTTGTTTTGTTCTGATACAGTTAATTCTTTTTCCCAGTAGAGTCCTTGCACTTATTATTTTGTCTTCTAAGTCCATATGATTATTGATTCATCTGTCTCTATTTTGAGCCAGAATAAGAACACATGTACTTCCAAACTTTTCTTGCATCCTACAGTACTTCTCTGAGTGTCATAGAGTTATTTTCTCTAATCTTCTAGTCATGGGCCATCACCAAAGTAACAATGGTTGGGAAGGCAGCCATGGCTCATGCCTATAAGCTTTACTACTTAGGAGGCTGAGATCTGAGGAACAGTGTTCAAAGCTAGACTAGGCAGTAAAGTCTGTGAGACCCTTAACTCCAAAGTAGAGTGATGGATCAAGTGCTAGCCTTGAGCACAAAAGCACAGGGGACAGCGCCTAGCCCTTGAACCAAAGCCCCAGGACAGGCACCATAAAAATATCAGCACAATGGTTGGGTTCACCAGGGATCCTGTTTCTGACTGCATGTAGAGCACAAGTGCATGTGTGTCTCCCACTGCTTCCCTCTCTGCTTCTGTTTCTTCCCTACCTGTGTTTCCAGTGTGCTTTCACTACTGCTTGTGGTAGCAACTATAACCACTTTCCACTGGTTCCTATGGGAAGAAAACTGACGTTTTAAAAATGAGTAGATATTTTTTGCATACTTGGACGTTTTTTTGAAACCCTTCTATATGCTTAAGCTGGCCTTGAACTTGTGACCGTGCTTCTTCAGCCTCCCTAATTCTGCAATTACAGTTTTACCACCACCATACCTGGCAAGAATGTGGTTTAAAACTTACTGAGAGCTGGGTAAAATAGATTCTGTCATGGGTTTCCCTTAAATGTGTTCTTGTCATGATTTCCTACAATGTTTCTCAAGTGCTCTGACCTTGCTCTCAGGATCTCACTTTGGAGACAACAATGCTTATACTGGACCCCACAGTGCCCCACAGAGGGCTTTGTCTGGCTTGCTGGGTGTGTACAACAGGTAGCCTCAGTGCTTGATGGTTCAGCTGTGGTCTCCCTACCTGGTGGTCCAGCTGTGCTCTGCGTGCCTGCTGGTCTAGCTGTGATCTCCTTGCTCGGTGTTCCAGCTCTGGTCTCAACGCCTAGTGGTGTAACTGTGCTCTGTGTGCCTCGTGGTACAGTTGTGGTCTCTGAGCCTGGAGGTCCAGCTGTGATCTCCCTGCCTGATGCTGAAGTCCGTCCCACAGACTGGCCTGTTGTTCCTGATAAACACAAAAGCAATGATTGCTATGCCCACTCATGCTCCTGAAGCTGGAGACTAGGACATTAGCTTGCGCCTTAGATATTTCTGTATAGTGCTTCATTTTCCACAGCTGACCCACTCTGATATTTTCACTTGTGTGTAGGTGCTATAGTGCCTGCCTTGATTTACCTGAGTTTCCTTGGGTCACAGTTCCAGGGCTTGATTCTCTGAGGGTGCTGGCTTCTTTGCCAATAGGTGTGGGTGAGGTAGGCACTTCTGTTCTTGCTGATTTGAAAAAGCCAAGAGTGACATGTGAACATGTGCCCCCTATTGTCTGCACATTGAAACTCATATAAACCCTCTGATGCTGGCATCACCTGTCTCCCCATGTTATATCAGATTCTTCCCATTTATCCCTCCAGGCCACTCCATTGGTTGACAGCAGACCCCCAATCCCAATGTTGGTCCCTGAATCAAACTCTGACTGGGTCTTCCCAAGAAAGTGTGACAAAAGTATTGATGGAATTTCCAGTATGTCCTAATGGATGTTTTATATCCAGGTCCATCATTTAATATAAATATGAAATCTAATATAACAAAAGCTAGTATTTAACAAACATAAGAGGGATGATCTCAAACCATTTCCATGCATGTGCCTAACATTCTGATCTAACATGATTTCCTTAAAATTTGATCTCCTTGTGGCTCTTGGCCAGGGGTGATATGGTTTTCTTACAAAGCATTCTTCCCACTTGAGACTGATTCCCAGTACAACTTCACACAGTGTTCCCAGCTACTTGGCTTAAACATGGGCAGGTTCTTGGCCAGGGGTGATATGGTTTTCTTACAAAGCATTCTTCCCACTTGAGACTGATTCCCAGTACAACTTCACACAGTGTTCCCAGCTACTTGGCTTAAACATGGGCAGGTCCTGATGAACAATGGTCCTGTGGTGCCTGCCACAGGAAACAGTAAGCATTTAACAGCTGTCCTACAGAACAACAGGTCACATTGCCTGTTTCTAAATAGCTGTCACATATTCAGGTACACTTTGCCATTTTTGACTCCTTCTTTTTTAAAATGGATCCTCAAATTGTTTATGATTCTAAAGATGTCTGGAGGTACACGTTAACTTGTCTGAGGCAAATAAACTTCGTCTTTACTTTTTTTAATTTTAAGACACTGGAATCCTGTCAATCAGAAAGAATCTTGCTTCCAGAAGCAACTACAGACCTTCAGGAAATACTTATGATACCTAGGGCCCTTCTACCCCAAATGTAGATTTAGTGAATCTCAGCAGGACCACTACAAATTTGACGTTAATTTGCAGCCATTGTTTGAATCCTGAACACCCTTCCTGAATCCTGGGATCATCATGTCTCATGAGCACACTGAGGGAACCAATGCTGGAACACGGCTGTAGAAACATCATCTGATCTTGACCCCCTGTTCTCCCTGTAACACTGTTGCTACAGAACCTGGTCCCTTCTTAACTCTAGTCTCTTCCTATTTCTTTCCATTGGCACCATGCTCCATAAACTGAGAATGAAAGCGTTCACCATACATGCACTTAAAAACCTGCACATGCAATGGCTCTCGCTTTTCCTTACCTGATCTGTGGCTAGCAGAAGTGGTAGCTGGTCTGGCTGAGGATCCTGGGCCTGCAGTGGTAGTGCGTACAGACAGCACTGTGCTCCCTGAAACCAACAACACAATGAGAGGTGACAACAATGAACATGCTTCTACCAAAGTGAAAAAAAGACAATGATTGATGCTGGGCACTGGTGGCTCACGCCTGTAATCCTAGTTACTCAGGAGGCTGAGATCTGAGGATTGCAGTTCAAAGCCAGTCTGGGAAGGATAGTCCATGGGACTCTTATCAACAATAACCCAGTAGAAAACCGGAGGTGGTGCTATGGCTCAAGCTGTAGAGTACTCACCTTGAGCTGAAGAGCGCAGGGACAGCGCCCAAGCCGAGAGGTCAAGCCTCATGACCAACAACAAAAAAATACAATGAGTGACAATTCCACTCCAATTCTCCTCAGTGTTATAAACCCTGTGGGGGCCTGACTCTATAGACCCACTCATGCTATGAGAAGACATCAGGGAGAGAGGCTTATACTCCATCCACACTGAGAGAGCAGGAAGGGCCTATGGTTCTGGTGACTGCATATCAAGTGCACTATCACCTAATGATCAGGTGGTACACAAAGGAGTCTGATGTACAACATGGAAAGAGAGAATTTCAGAATCTACATGGATCTCCTGTTCTTTGAGATACGCAAGGGGAGCATGCTTTTCAGTGCAAGCTACAAAGAGTTTGGCTTTCTTATGGTTAAGCCCTGAATTAGGCTTGCTTTTTCTTTTGACTTTGGAAATGTATTTACTATCTAATTTTCACTGGAGTTTCAAGTAGATACATCCAGTCAGTCATGCAACACTGAGTTTGTGCTCACTGCCCTAAGGTATTGTACTTAAATGTAATCATCACGTAGGTACCTTGATTTGTTAGCTCCCAATGGCTGGGTCTAGTCTTAAGTTTTGTTCTGATACAGCTCATACTTTTTCCCAGTGGAGTGTCCTTACTTATCTTTTGTCTTCTAAATCTGCATGATAATTGATTCTTCTGTCTCTAATAGGGGCCAGAATAAGAACACAAGTGCTTCCCAAACTTTTCTTGTATCCAACAGTATTTCTCTGAGTGTCATAGACTTTTTTCTCCTATTTTCTAGTCATACGCCATCACCAAAGTAACAATAGTTGGGAAGGGCAAACATGGGTCCTGCCTATAATCTTTAGTACTCAGGAGACTGAGATATGAGGATCAGTGTTCAAAGCCAGACTAGGCAGTAAAGTCTGTGAGACCCTGAGATCCAAGTAGAGCTCAGGGGACAGTGCCCAGGCCTTGATTGAAAGCTCCATGACAGGCATCATAAAAATATAAGAACAATGGTTGGGTTCACCAGGGATCCTATCTCTGACTGCATGTAGAGCACAAGTGCATGTTTGTCTACCACTTGTTTTCTCTCTCCTTTTTTCCCCCTGCCTGTGTTTCCAGTGTGTTTTCACTAGTGCTTGTGGTAGCAGCTCTACCTACTCCTCCACTAGGTGCTGTGGGAAAAAATGATGTGATAAAAATGGGTAGTTATATTTTGTACTCTTGGACTTTTTGAACCCTTCTATATGCTTAAGCTGGCCTTGAACTTGTGACCTTGCTTCTTCAGCCTCCCTAATTCTACAATTACAGTTTTACCACCACCATACCTGGAAAGAATGTCATTTAAAACATACTGAGAGCTGGGTAAAATGGATTCTGTCATGGGTTTTCCTTAAATGTGTTCTTGTCATGATTTCATACAATGTTTTCTCATGTGCTCTAACCTTGCTATCAGGATCTGACTTTGGAGAAAATAATACTTATACTGGACCCCACAGAGCCCAACAGAGGGCTTTGTCTGGCTTGCTGGCTGTGTACAACAGGTGGCCTCAGTGCTTGATGGTTCAGCTGTGGTCTCCCTACCTGGTGGTCCAGCTGTAGTCTGTGTGCTTGCTGGTTTAGCTGTGGTCTGAGTGCCTGGTGGTCCAGCTGTGGTCACCCCCATTGTGGTCTCTGTGCTTGCTGGTCCAGCTGTGGTCTCCCTGCCTGGTGATCCACTTGTGCTCTGTGTGCCTTGTGGTCCAGCTGTGGTCTCTGAGCCTGGAGGTCTACCTGTAATCTCCCTGCCTGATGCTGAAGTCGGTCCCACAGACTGGCCTGTTGTTCCTGATAAACACAGAACCAATGATTGCTATGCCCACTCGTGATCCTGAAGCTGGAGACTAGGCCACCAGATTGTGCCTTAGATATTTCTGTACAGTGCTTCATTTTCCACAGCTGACCCACTCTGATATTTTCACTTATGTGTAGGTGCTATAGTTCCTGCCTTGATTTACCTGAGTTTCCTTGGGTCACAGTTCCAGGGCTTGATTCCGAGAGGGTGCTGGCTTCTTTGCCAATAGGTGTGGGTGAGGTAGGCACTTCTGTTCTTGCTGATTTAAAAAAGTAAAGGGTGACATGTGACCCTGTGCCTCCTATTGTCAGCTCGCTGAACCTCACATAAACCCTCTGATGCTGGCAACACCTTTTACTCCATGTTATATCAGATTCTTCCCATTTATCCCTCCAGGCCACTCCATTGGTTGACAGCAGACCCCCAAACCCAATGTTGGTCCCCGAATCAAACTCTGACTGGATCTTCCCAAGAAAGTGTGACAAAAATATTGATGAAATTTCCAGTGTGTCCTCAATGGATACTTTATATCCAGGTCCATCATTTAACATAAATATGAAATCTAATATAACAAAAGCTAGTATTTTACAAACATAAGAGGGATGGTCTCAAACTGTTTCCATGCATATGCCTAACATTCTGATCTAACATGATTTCCTTATTTGATCTCCTTGTGGCTCTTGGGCAGGGGTGAGATGGTTTTCTTACAAAGCATTCTTCCCTCATGAGACTGATTCCCAGTTCAACTTCACACAGTGTTCCCAGCTACTTGGCTTAAACATGGGCAGGTCCTGATGAACAACGCTGTCTGTTGACAAAAAACAATGCCTGGAACAAACCCTGCTCTCCTCACCTGATGTGGCCTCAGCTGTTGAGGGTTCACTGCTTGGGGCTGTAGTAGTTTCACCAGCTGTAGGTCCTGTGGTGCCTGCCACAGGAAACAGGAAGCATTTAACAGCTGTCCTACAGAACAACAGGTCACATTGCCTGCTTCTAAATAGCTGTCACATATTCAGGTACACTTTGCCATTTCTGACTCACTCTTTCTAAAAAGGGATCCTAAAATTGTATATGATTTAACGATGTCAGTGGGTACATGTTAACTGGTCTAAGGCAAACAAATTGCATCTTTACTTTCATTAATAAGAAGATACTGGAATATTGTGAATCAGAAACAATCTTGCTTCCAGAAGGAACTACAGACCTTTAGGAAACACTCATTATACCTAGGGCTCTTCTACCCCAAATGTAGATTCAGTGAATCTCAGAAAGACCCCTACAAATTTGATGTTAATTTGCAGCCATTGTTTGAATCCTGAACACCCTTCCTGAATCCTGGAATCATCATGTCTCATGAGCACACTGAGGGATGCCAATGCTGGAACAAGTCTGTAGAAACATCATATGATCCTGACCCCCTTTTCTCCCTGTAACACTGTTGCTACATAACCTGGTGCCTTTTTAACTCCAATCTCTTCCTTTTTCTTTCCATTGGCAGCATGCTCCATAAACTGAGAATGAAAGAGATCACCATCCATGCGCGTAAAACCTGCATATGCCCTGGATTTCCCTTTTCCTTACCTGATCTGTGGCTAGCAGAAGTGGTAGCTGGTCTGGCTGAGGATCCTGGGCCTGCAGTGGTGGAGGCTGCAGACAGCACCGTGCTCCCTGAAACCAACAATAGAATGAAACGTGACAACAATTAGCATGTTTCTCATACCAAAGAGAAAAAGACAGTGAGATGACAATTCCACTCCTGTTCTCCTTATAAACCTTATAAACCTTGTGGGAGCCTGAGTCCACAGACCAGCTCCTGCTATGAGAAGACATCAGGGAGAGAGGCTTGTACTCCATCCACACTGGGAGATCAGGAAGGGCCTATGATTCCGGTGCCTGCATATCAAGTGCACTACCACCTCTCTAGGTTGATCAGGTGAGTGTCTGTTGTACTCCATAGAAAGAAAGGGGTGATTGATGTACACCATGGAAAGAGATAATTTTAGTTTTCCTGGCTCTCCTGTTCCCTGAGAAACACATGGGGAGCATGCTTTTCTGTGCGAGCTACAAAGAGAGTTTGGCTTCCTTATGGTTAAGACCTGAATTAGGCTTGCTTTTTCCTTTGATTATAGAAATATATTTACCTCATAGTTTTCACTGAAGTTTCAAGTAGATACATCCAGTCATGCAACACAGACTTTGTAGTCAATGCCCTAAATTATTTTACTTAAATGTAATTATCACATAGGTTCCTTGATTTGTAATCTCCCAATGGTTGGGTCTATTCTTGTTTTGTTCTGATGCAGTTTATTCTTTTTCCCAGTGGAGTCCTTTCACTTATTTTTTTGTAATCTAAATCTATATGAGGAATTATCAGGAATTAGAATAAGAACACAGGTGCTCTAGAGGCCAAGGATTATGTCTTATTTAGGGATGGTGACATTCTTGGGAAGTATCTAGAGTGAATATATCACTAAAGTGACAGCATGTGAAGTGGCCCATTCCATGGAATTCCTGAGATCTTTTTATATCTTCCTTTTACAATAAGCTGATCGTAACTAAACTAATGATATCCATTTTCTCTAAAGTTTAATTTCACTGTTGTGGTATAAACATTTTCAAATAAAACATGTAAATGAAAAAAATAGAATGCATGGGCTTCCTAAACTCTTACTGTCTCCTAAAATGTTTCTCTGAGGGTCATAGAGTTATTTTCTCTAATCTTCTACTCATGGGCCATCACAAAAGTAGCAATGGTTGGGAAGGGCATTCATGGCTCACACCTATAAGGTTTAATTCTCAGGAGGCTCAGTTCTGAGAATTAGTGTTCAAAGACAGATGAGGCAGTAAAGTCTGTGAGACCTTTAGCTCCAATTACCTAACAAAAGGGCCCAAGGAGAGCAATGGATCAAGTGCTAGCCTTGAGCACAAAAGCTCAGGAAACAGTGCCCAGGCCTTGAGTGAAAGCTGCTTAAATATATAAGGACAATGGTTGCGATCATCATGGATCTTGTGTCTGAGTGCATGTAGAGCACAAGTGCATGTGGGTCTACCACTGCTTCCCTCTCTGCTTCTGTTTCTTCTCTATCTGTGTTTCCAAGTGTGCTTTCACTATTGCTTGTAGTAGCAACTCTACCCGCTCTTCCACTGGTTCTTGGGGGAAGAAAAACGATGTTTTAAAAATGTGTAGTTATTTTTTGTACTCTTGGACTTTTTTGAAATCCTTCTATATGCTTAAGCTGGCCTTGAACTTGTGACCTTGCTTCTTCAGCCTTCCCTAATTCTGCAATTACAGTTTTACCACCACCAGACCTAGCAAGATTGTGGTTTAAAACATACTGAGAGCTGGATAAAACGGATTCTGTCATGGGTTTTCCTTAAATGTGTTCTTGTCATGATTTCCTACAATGTTTTTTCAAGAGCTCTAACCTTGCTCTCAGGATTTCACTTTGGAGTCAACAATGCTTTTACTGGACTCCACAGTGCCCCACAGAGGGCTTTGTGTTGCTTGCTGGGTGGGTAGGATGGGTGGTCCCAGTGCTTGAGGATTCAACTGTGGTTTCCCTACCTAGTGGTCCAGCTGTAGTCTGTGTGCCTGGTGGTCCAGCTGTGGTCTCCTTGCTTGGTGTTCTAACTGTGCTCTGTGTGCCTGGTGGTCCAGTTGTGGTCACCCCGGCTGTGGCCTCAGTGCCTGGTGTTCCAGGTGTGGTCTCCTTTCTTGGTGGTCTAGCTGTGGTCTCCCTGTCTGGTGTTCTAGCTGTGGTCTCTGTGCTTGCTGGTCTAGCTGTGGTCTCCCCGTCTGGTGGTCCAGCTGTGCTCTCTGTATTTGGTGGTCCAGCTGTGCTCTCTGTATTTGGTGGTCCAGCTGTGCTCTCTGTGTTTGGTGGTCCAACTGTGGTCTCTGTGTTTGGTGGTCCAGCTGTGGTCTCGGAGCCTGGAGGACCAGCTGTGATCTCCCTGCCTGATGCTGAAGTTGGTCCCACAGAGTTGTCTGTTGTTCCTGATAAACACAGAAGCAATGATTGCTATGCCCACTCATGCTCCTGAAGCTGGAGACTATGTCATTAGGTTGAGCCTCAGACCCACTCTGATATTTTCACTTGTGTGTTAGTATTAAACTGCCTGCCTTGATTTACCTGAGTTTCCTTGGGTCACAGTTCCAGGGCTTGATTCTCTGAGGGTGCTGGCTTCTTTGCCAATAGGTGTGGGTGAGGTAGGCACTTCTGTTCTTGCTGAATTAAAAAAGCAAACAGTGACATGTGACCATGTGCTCCCCCTGTTATCAGCACGCTGAACCTCACATAAACCCTCTGATGCTGGCAACATCTGTCTCCCCATGTTATATCAGATTCTTCCCATTTATCTCTCCAGATGACTCCATTGGTTGACAGCAGACTACCAAACCCTATGTGGGCCCACGAATCAAGCTATGACTGGGGCTTCTCAGCAATGTGTGATAAAAGAATTGATGGAATTTCCAATTTGCCCCAGTGAATATTTTAAAATTGTTTATATCAGTATACCCAGGTCCATTATTTAATATAAATATTAAATCTAACATAACAAAATCTAGTATTTTACAAACATAAGAGGGATGATCTCAAACTGTTCCCATGCATATGCCTAACATTCTGATCTAAAATTTTGCTTAAAATTTGATCTCCTTGTGGCTCTTGGGCAGGGGAGATGGTTTTCTTACAAAGCATTCTTCCCACATGAGATTGGTTCCCAGTACAACTTCACACAGTGTTCCCAGCTACTTGGCTTAAACATGGGCAGGTCCTGATGAACAACGTTGTCTGTTGACAAAAAGCAGTGCCAACAAACCCTGCTCTCCTCACCTGATGTGGCCTCAGCTGTTGAGGATTCACTGCTTGGGGCTCTAGTAGTTTCACCAGCTGCTGGTCCTGTGGTGCCTGCCACAGGAAACAGTAAGCATTTAACAGCTGTCCTACAGAACAACAGTCACATTGCCTGCTTCTAAATAGCTGTCACATATTCAGTTACACTTTGCCATTTCTAACTCCCTCTCCCTATAAAGGGATCCTAAAATTACATATGATTCTAAAGATATCAGCAGGTACATGTTAACATTCTAAGGCATTATAAACTTCATCTTTACATGCTTTAATAAGAAGATACTGGAATCCTGTGAATTAGAAACAGTATGTTTCCAGAATCAACTACAGACCTTCAGGAAATACTCATTATACCTAAGGCCCTTCTACCCCAAATGCTGTTTCAGTGAATCTCAGAAGGACCCCTACAAATTTGATGTTAATTTGCAGCCATTGTTTGAATCCTGAACAGCCTTCCTGAATCCTGCGATCATCATGTCTGATGAGCACACAGAGGGAACCAATGCTGGAACAAGGCTGTAGAAACATCATCTGATCCTGGCCCCATGTTCTCCATGTAACACTGTTGCTACAGAACCTGGTCCCTTCTTAACTCCAGTCTCTTCATATTTCTTTCCATTGGCACCATGCTCCATAAACTGAGAATGAAAGAGTTCACCATCCATGCACTTAAAAACCTGCACATGCAATGGCTCTCGCTTTTCCTTACCTGATCTGTGGCTAGCAGAAGTGGCAGCTGGTCTGGCTGAGGATCCTGGGCCTGCCGTGGTAGAGGCTGCAGACCGCACCGTGCTCCCTAAAACCAACCACAGAATGAGAGGTGACAATAATGAACATGCTTCTCCTACCAAAGTGAGAAAAAGACAGTGAGTGACAATTCCACTCCAATTCTCCTCAGCATTATAAACTTTGTGGGAGTCTGACTGCACAGACCAGCTCCTGCTATGAGAAGAAATCAGGGAGAGAGGCTTGCACTCCATCCACACTGAGAGAGCAGGAAGGCCCCATGGATCTGTTCCTTGCATATCCAGTGCACTACCACCTGCCTGAGTTGATCAGGTGACACACAAAGTGTTTGTTTTATATCATGGAAAGAGAGGGGTGTCTGATGTATACCATGGAAAGAGACAGTTTCAGAGTCTTCCTGGCTCTCCTGTTCCCTGAGAAACAGAAAGGGAGCATGCTTTTCATTGCAAGGTACAAAGAGAGTTTGGCTTCCTTATGCTTAAGACCTGAATTAGGCTTGCTTTTTTCCTGTGACTTTGGAAATGTATTTACTACCTAGTATTCACTGGAGTTTAAAGTATATACATCCAATGGGTCATGCAACACTGAGTTTGTGCTCATTGCCATAAGGTATTGTAACTAAATGTAATCATCACATAGGTACCTTGATTTGTTAGCTCCCAATGGTGGGGTCTAGTCTGGTTTTTTCCTGATACAATTTATTCTTTTTCCCAGTGGAGTCCTCTCACTTATGTTTTTGTCTTCTAAGTCTATATGGTCATTGATTCCTCCCTCTCTATCCAGAACTAGAATAAGAACATATGTGCTCTAGAGGACAAGGATTATGTATTATTGAGAGATGGTGACACCCTTGGGAAGTATGCAGAGTGAATACATTACTAAAATGACAGATGTGAAGCGGCCCATTCCATGGAAGTTCTGAGATCTTTAATCATGTAAATATTTTTATATCTCCCTTTTATAATAAGCTGATGGTAATTAAACTAATGTTTAAACTCTAAAGTTTAATTTCACTGTTATGGTATAAACATTTTCTAATAAAACATATAAATAAAAAAAGAATATATGTGCTTCCAAACTTTGCATGTATCCTAAAATATTTCACTGAGAGTCATAGAGTTATTGTCTCTAATCTTGTAATCATCGGCCATCACAAAAGTAGCAATGGTTGGGAGGGCAGCCATGGCTCACACCTATAAGGTTTACTCCTCAGGACACTGAATTCTGAGGATTAGTGTTCAAACACAGAATACGCAGCAAAGACTGTGAGACCCTTAGCTCCAATTAATTACCAAAGGACCCAAAGTGGAGCGATGGATCAAATGCTAGCCTTGAGCACAAAATCTCAGGGGACAGTGCCTAGGCCCTGAGTGAAAGCCCCAGGACAGGCACCATAAAAATATCAGAACAATGGTTGGGTTCACCAGGGATCCTGTCTCTGACTGCATGTAGAGCACAAGTGCATGTGTGTCTACCACTGCTTCCCTCTCTGCTTCTGTTTC